ACACTAGGGACGTGGCTGGTTCTGGGGAGCTCAACTAGGGACGTGGGCTGGGTTCTGGGTGAGCACTCACCCTTAGGGACGTGGGCTGGTTCTGGGTGAGCGCTCACACTAGGGACGTGGGCTGGTTCTGGGTGAGCGCTCACACTAGGGACGTGGGCTGGTTCTGGGTGAGCGCTCACACTAGGGACGTGGGCTGGGTTCTGGGTGAGCGCTCACACTAGGGACGTGGGCTGGTTCTGGGTGAGCGCTCACACTAGGGACGTGGGTGGTCTGGGTGAGCGCTCACACTAGGGACGTGGGCTGGGTTCTGGGTGAGCGCTCACACTAGGGACGTGGGCTGGGTTCTGGGTAAACGCTCACCTTAGGGACGTGGGCTGGTTCTGGGTAACGATCACTTAGGGACGTGGGCGGGTTCTGGGTGAGCGCTCACACTAGGGAGTGGGCTGGTTCTGGGTGAGCGCTCACTAGGGACGTGGGCTGGGTTCTGGGTGAGCGCTCACACTAGGGATGTGGCTGGGTTCTGGGTGAGCACTCACACTAGGGACGTGGGCTGGTTGGGGTAAACACTCACCCTTAGGGACGTGGCTGGTTCTGGTGTGAGCACTCACACTATGGGACGTGGGCTGGGTTCTGGTGTGAGCGCTCACACTAGGGACGTGGGCTGGGTTCTGGGTGAGCGCTCCCACTAGGGACGTGGGCTGGTTCTGGGGTGAGCACTCACACTAGGGATGTGGGCTGGGTTCTGGGTGAGCGCTACACTAGGGATGTGGGCTGGGTTCTGGGTGAGCGCTCACACTAGGGATGTGGGCTGGTTATGGTGTGAGCACTCACACTAGGGATGTGGGCTGGGTCGGGTGAGCGCTCACACTAGGGACGTGGGCTGGGTTCTGGGTGAGCACTCACACTAGGGACGTGGGCTGGTTCTGGGTGAGCGCTCACACTAGGGACGTGGGCTGGTTCTGGGTGAGCGCTCACACTAGGGACGTGGGCTGGTTCTGGGTGAGCGCTCACACTAGGGAGTGGGCTGGGTTCTGGGTAACGCTCACCTAGGGACGTGGGCTGGGTTCTGGGTAAACGCTCACCTTAGGGAAGTGGGCTGGTTTGGGTGAGCGCTCACATAGGGACGTGGGCTGGTTTGGGTGAGCACTCACATAGGGACGTGGGCTGGGTTCTGGGTGAGCGCTCACACTAGGGATGTGGGCTGGGTTCTGGGGTGAGCGCTCACATAGGACGTGGGCTGGTTCTGGGTGAGCGCTCACACTAGGGACGTGGGCTGGTTCTGGGTGAGCGCTCACACTAGGGACGTGGGCTGGGTTCTGGGTGAGCACTCACCCTTAGGGACGTGGGCTGGTTCTGGGTGAGCGCTCACACTAGGGACGTGGGCTGGTTCTGGGTGAGCGCTCAACACTAGGGACGGGGCTGGTTCTGGGTGAGCGCTCACACTAGGGACGTGGGCTGGGTTCTGGGTAGACGCTCACACTAGGGACGTGGGCTGGTTCTGGGTGAGCGCTCACACTAGGGACGTGGGCTGGTTCTGGGTGAGCGCTCACACTAGGGACGTGGGCTGGTTCTGGGTGAGCGCTCACACTAGGGACGTGGGCTGGGTTCTGGGTAAACGCTCACCTTAGGGACGTGGGCTGGTTCTGGGTAAACGCTCACCTTAGGGACGTGGGCTGGGTTCTGGGTGAGCGCTCACACTAGGGACGTGGGCTGGTTCTGGGTGGAGCGCTCACACTAGGGACGTGGGCTGGGTTCTGGGTGAGCGCTCACACTAGGGATGTGGGCTGGGTTCTGGGTGAGCACTCACACTAGGGACGTGGGCTGGGTTCTGGGTAAACACTCACCCTTAGGGACGTGGGCTGGTTCTGGGTGAGCACTCACACTAGGGACGTGGGCTGGGTTCTGGGTGAGCGCTCACACTAGGGACGTGGGCTGGGTTCTGGGTGAGCGCTCACACTAGGGACGTGGGCTGGTTCTGGGTGAGCACTCACACTAGGGATGTGGGCTGGGTTCTGGGTGAGCGCTCACACTAGGGATGTGGGCTGGGTTCTGGGTGAGCGCTCACACTAGGGATGTGGGCTGGTTCTGGGTGAGCACTCACACTAGGGATGTGGGCTGGGTTCTGGGTGAGCGCTCACACTAGGGACGTGGGCTGGGTTCTGGGTGAGCACTCACACTAGGGACGTGGGCTGGTTCTGGGTAAATGCTCACCCTTAGGGACGTGGGCTGGGTTCTGGGTGAGCGCTCACACTAGGGACGTGGGCTGGGTTCTGGGTGAGCGCTCACACTAGGGACGTGGGCTGGTTCTGGGTGAGCACTCACACTAGGGATGTGGGCTGGTTCTGGGTGAGCACTCACACTAGGGATGTGGGCTGGGTTCTGGGTGAGCGCTCACACTAGGGACGTGGGCTGGGTTCTGGGTGAGCACTCACACTAGGGACGTGGGCTGGTTCTGGGTAAACGCTCACCTTAGGGACGTGGGCTGGGTTCTGGGTGAGCGCTCACACTAGGGACGTGGGCTGGGTTCTGGGTGAGCGCTCACACTAGGGACGTGGGCTGGGTTCTGGGTAAACGCTCACCTTAGGGACGTGGGCTGGGTTCTGGGTGAGCGCTCACACTAGGGATGTGGGCTGGGTTCTGGGTGAGCACTCACACTAGGGACGTGGGCTGGTTCTGGGTAAACGCTCACCTTAGGGACGTGGGCTGGGTTCTGGGTGAGCGCTCACACTAGGGATGTGGGCTGGGTTCTGGGTGAGCGCTCACACTAGGGATGTGGGCTGGGTTCTGGGTGAGCGCTCACACTAGGGACGTGGGCTGGGTTCTGGGTGAGCGCTCACACTAGGGACGTGGGCTGGGTTCTGGGTAAACACTCACCCTTAGGGACGTGGGCTGGGTTCTGGGTGAGCGCTCACACTAGGGACGTGGGCTGGGTTCTGGGTGAGCGCTCACACTAGGGACGTGGGCTGGGTTCTGGGTGAGCACTCACCCTTAGGGACGTGGGCTGGGTTCTGGGTAAACGCTCACCTTAGGGACGTGGGCTGGTTCTGGGTAAACGCTCACCTTAGGGACGTGGGCTGGGTTCTGGGTGAGCGCTCACACTAGGGATGTGGGCTGGGTTCTGGGTGAGCACTCACACTAGGGACGTGGGCTGGGTTCTGGGTGAGCGCTCACACTAGGGACGTTGGCTGGGTTCTGGGTGAGCGCTCACACTAGGGACGTGGGCTGGGTTCTGGGTGAGCGCTCACACTAGGGACGTGGGCTGGGTTCTGGGTAAACACTCACCCTTAGGGACGTGGGCTGGGTTCTGGGTGAGCGCTCACACTAGGGACGTGGGCTGGTTCTGGGTGAGCTCGGCTTTGCTGCATCGTCCGTGCTGCTGCCTGCCATGTGCCCAGCTCCTCACAGTGTTGTCGAGGACGTGTGAGCTGTGACAGATGCTTTCTAGTCCTTTGCCGAACTTTCCCTCATGACGTGTCTCATTGAGTGGCTTCCACTTCGCAGGGGAAAATTTGTTGCCTTGGAGAACATCAGCTGCAAGATTAAGTCGGGCTGTGAGGGGCACCTGCCGTGGCCCAACGGCATCTGTACCAAGTGCCAGCCAAGCGCCATCACGCTGAACAGACAGGTGAGACTACCCTGTGTCTGTCTAGTTCTGTCAGATTTGCTCTCATGGCCGCGCCGCGGAGAGTTCCAGAAGACTCCTTCCTGGGAGAGTGTGTGCTGTGGGTGGCAGTCTTGGATGGTTTGGTCCCTGGCTTCACCGTGTGTGGAAGTTGCGTGCTGGAGACAAAGTCTGTGAGATTGGCAGCTGGCAGGGGTGGAGGGGCCCTCACTTGTGGTGTGCGTGAAGGCAGCAGTTTCTTGGTGACCGCTTCAGATGTGCCGTGATGGGGACTGGCCCTCTGAGAAGCCGTGTCTCTGCACGCTGGGCTGAGACGGGCCTGGCGTGGGCTGGAGGCCCTTCTGGCCCTGTCTGCCCTGGTTGCTGTGCTGTTTGAGCGTGGGTCGCCGGCCACATCCTTGCTGCCGCCTGTCTCGCCTCTGGCCTGTCTCTCCTCAGAGAGAATTCCATGGCTGCCTTGGCTTTGATGGGAACTGAGCTCTCTTCCTCTGTGCCTCAGTGTTTGAGAGCCACCTAGGGGCAGGCATCTGACTCTCGTCCTAGGTGGGAGCCTGCTTCCTGGGGACATCGCCCTGGGAAGCCGCAGGCGATGACTGGCCCGGCAGGGGGCTGTTGCAGGCGTTTGGAGCCAGCTGGTGGGAGCTCTTTCTCTGTCTGCTTCCTTTAAAAAATACAGTGCTTAACATTATTAACTATTTCAAAGGCAGAGTTACAGAGAGAGAAGGAGAGACAGAGAAAAAGAGATCTTGGGTTTGCTGGTTCACTCCTTGAAATGGCTGCACCGGCCGGGCTGGGCCGGGCTGAAGCCAGGAACCTCACCACGTGTGTGCAGGGCCCCGAGTGTTTGGCCGTCTCCCGTTGCTTTAGCTCAGAAGTCGGGCATCCAGGGCGTGAGCAGGCGCCTGTGTGGGATACTGGTGCTGTAGGTTGCGGCTTAGCCTGCAGAGCCACAGCACTTGGCCCCAAGAGGTGCTTTTTAAAAAAGATAGAATAGTACCTTGTGCATTGCTTAGAGGTTGTGGGAACCTGCATTTAGGTAAAATCATGGAGAGTTACTGTTGACTTTTACATCTGAATTTATTTTTATTTATTCAAAAAGCAGGGAGGGATCTTGTCGGCCGGTACACTCCCCAGAAGCCCCACCACAGCCACAGCTGGGCCGAAGCGAAGCCCGCAGCCCGGGACTCAGTCTAGGTCTTCCCCATGGGTGGCAGAGACCACGTTCTTGACGTAGTGCCTGCTCCTTCCCGGGGCGTGTATCAGCAGGGAGCTGGAATGAGCAGAGCTGTTCCCATGTGGGTGTGGGATGTCCCAGCTGGCATCCTAACCGCTGTGCCAAATGCCTGGCCTGTGAGAGTAATTTGAATTTATGCGTATGATTGAGCCAACCTGCCCCTCCCCACACTGCCCTCTGGACTCTGCAGCCGTCGAAAGGATGGAGCAGGTTCTTGCATCTGGAGTTCTGTCCTGTCGCGGTGTCTTGACGAGCTGGGGGGACGTGAGTCACTGTCCTCTCAGCCCGCTGTCCTCCCTCCGCAGAAGTACAGGCACGTGGACAACATCATGTTTGAGAATCACACTGTTGCCGACCGCTTTCTGGACTTCTGGAGAAAGACCGGAACCAGCACTTTGGGTACTTGTACGGCCGGTACACGGAGCACAAGGACATTCCCCTCGGCATCAGGGCGGAAGTGGCTGCCATCTATGAGCCTCCTCAGGTAGACCGGGGTCACGGGGCTGGGGTTTGTCTGGGTGGGACGCCCTTCTCAGACGGCGTTTGCCTCGCTGGCTCTGCACGTGCCATGCAGTGTTTACCTGTGAGTGACTGGAGAGGAGGGTCCCAGCCCCTGGACGCTTCTGTGTGGTGTCCTGTCACAGCCGGGGGCTTTCTCAGCTCAAGCACGTTGGGCAGGTATCGATGGGCTGTTTCTACCCAACGTGCCATCTGCGTTCTGGGGTTGTTGGTGGCCCTGAAACGTCACACAGTTGCTACAGCTCTTGTAATTCGTCTCCTGTCACCCGAGTGACAGCAGCTCTCCCAGGACTGGGGGAATGTCTGCGTGAGCCTCACAGACTAGTGCTGCTGATGCTGGGCCGCGCACACAACCGTCCCAGAGCCAGAACGCTGCCAGGGCAGCTGAGCAGGAGCGAGAGCAGTCAGGAGAGCCTCGCGGGGTCGGGAGGGCGCAGCCCACGTGGCGCATGTGGCGCACGGCTGCTGCCCGCTTGGAAGCTGGTGGGGCTCCTCTCTGCAGGGCTCACTGTACTTTTGGAGGATTGGTGGATACGGATGGGGCCTTAAAAAAGCTCATGGGAAATATATATTATGAAAAAATTGCATAGACTTAAATTTTTTCATGCCAAAATAAACCTATCTTTTAGTTTGATTTTCCATGAACTTTTGAAAGTACCCGTATATGCATATGTATGCATTTTAACTTGTCTTGTATTAATGTAAAATATTTATGTGTTATGCTTCATTATATAAACTTTACTGCGAAAGCACAAACTCTGTAAACAAACACTGAGTCTGAGTGAGTGATGCACGTGATGAATTATTTAGGAAAGTGCTTCTGTCTGGTTCTCCGTGGTGGTGACGTGAGGGATGGCTGGATCTTGGGAGTGGGTGGACGGAGGGTGTCTGCTCTATGTCGGAAGCATTTTGTAAATGCTAGAGAGGAATCTCCCAAGTCGAGAGGCACCTGCAAGCCGGGTATCTCCCCTTTCGCCTGTTCCCTTCCCTCCTCTGCAGACAGCCTTCACTACTTACTCATTCGTTTATTTATTTATTTAAGATTTATTTTATTTATTTGAAAGACAGAGTTACAAAGAGAGGTAGAGACAGAGAGAGGTCTTCCATCCACTGGTTCACTCTCCAGATGGCCACAATGGCCGGAACTGTGCCAATCCTGAAGCCAGGAGTCAGGAACCTCTTCCAGGTCTCAAGGACTTGGGTCATCTTCTTCTGCTTTCCCAGGCCACAGCAGAGAGCTGGATCGGAAGTGGAGCAGCCGGGACTAGAACCGGTGCCCACATGAGATGCCAGTGCTTCAGGGCAAGGCGTTAACCTGCTGCGCCACAGTGTTGGCCCCAGACAACCTTCACTTTTAAAAGCTTGTTTTAACTTCTAAAGTTTGGATTTTAAAAAAAATTGTGTATTTAAAAGGCAGAGGAAGGGAGAGAGAGAAAAATAAATCTATCTGCTGGTTCACTCCGCAAATGACTGCAGCGCCAGGGCCAGTCCAGGCCAAAACCTGGAGCTGGACACCCCATGCAGGTCTCCACGTGGGGCGCAGGGACCCAGGTCCTTTTCTCATCCTCTGCTGCTCCCCCAGGCGCCGGAGCAGGGAGCTGGGTCACCAGCAGTGCAGGCAGAGCTGCAACTGGCACTCGACTCAGCGCGCCAGCTCTGCCAGCAGCGGCTGGCTCCCTGTGCCATAGCGCTGGCCGCTAAGGTTCAGTTTCGAGTGTGCGCATTACATGTAGAGGTCACCCTGGTCCCCTTCTTCCTTGGCACCTGCTCTTCAGCTGCCACTGTGTTCTGCATATCACCCTGGGACTAGCCTATTTCTTTTTAATTTTTATTTCTTTTTTTATTTTTAAAGATTTACTTGAAAATCGGAGTTACACAGAGAGAGAGGGAGAGACAGAGTGAGTGGGGGGCTTCCATCCTTTGGTTCGCTCCCCAGTTGGCTGCATTGACTGGAGCTGCGCCGATCCGAAGCCAGGAGCCAGGAGTTTCTTCTTGGTCTTCCATGTGGGTGCAGGGGCCCTAGGACTTGGATCGTCTTCTACTGCTATCCCAGACCATCAGCAGAGAGCTGGATCAGAAGTGGAGCAGCCAGGACTTGAACCAGCACCCTTATAGGATGCCGACACTGCAGGCAGCGGCTTTACCTGCTATGCCACAGTGCCAGTCCCTATTTTTTTTTTTTTTTTTTTTTTTTGAGATTTGTTTATTTATTTGAAAGGCAGAGTTAGAGTCAGAGACAGAGAGAGAGGTCTTCTATCTGCTGGTCCACTTCCCAGATGGCCATAATGGCTGGAGCTGCACTGATCCGAAGCCAGGAGCCAGGAGCTTCTTCCAGGTCTCCCACACGAGGGCAGAGGTCCAAGGACCTGGGCCATCTTCCACTGCTTTCCCGGGCCACAGCAGAGAGCTGGATTGGAAGTTGGGACTTGAATTGGCGCCCAAATGGGATGCTGGCACTGCAGGTGGTTGCTTTACCCGCTATGCCACAGCGCCAGCCCCAAAATGATACTTGCTAATTTCCTGTGAGCTGCATTTAAGTGAAGATTAAAGGTTTTGGCCAGCTTTGTGCACTCCAAGAAGCTGATTTCCGGGGTTGGTTTAGGCCGCCTGTGAGCCAGCATGGTCAGCTCCTGAAGTGCCCCGAGCTAGGTGCTGTACCTCCTGGCAAACAGGTTGCTGATTTTATTAAGATTTTTGTTTTAAAAATTTATGTATTTGAAATGCATAGTGGCAGAGAGGGAGAGAGAGATCTTTTACCTGCTATAGCTGTGGCTGGGCCAGGTCAAACCAGGAGCCAGTAACCCCCTCCGGGCCTCCTGCATGGGTGGGCAGGCACTCCACTGTCCACTGCCTCCCAGGTGCCTTAGCAGGAAGCAGAATTGGAAGAATGGAGGGGCCTGGATTTGAACCTGGCGCTCGGAGAGAGGGTGGTGGGCATCCCACACCTCGCCAGGTGCTGCGACCTTTTAGACGCTGTCACCTTTCTTGGGGTGTGTGCGCTGGCCCTCTTTGGGATGCAGACTCAGGGATTCGGCTGGGAAGCCAAGCACTGTCCCTGCGGGAGTGGCCTGTGGGTCTTCCCGTGGCGCTTTTCCAGAAATGGATGTTACCTTTCAGCTTCATCCTGGGTCTTTAGCCAAACCTGTGTGCAGTAAAGCTGCCTGCTCCGAGTTCTGAAAATAACTCCATCCTCCAGAGAAGGAAGCCTCCCTCCAAGGTCGACTGGCGTCCTCCTGAGGGCGGCCACGCGGCCGCGCCGTGACTGCGAGCACATGGCAGCCCAGGGAGGGCTGTGCCGGAGGGCGCGTGGTTGTGTCGTCCGTGGCCCTGAGTCCCCTTCAGCGACCCCTCACCCCCGGGTCTCTGAGCCATCTTCTCCCTTTCATTCCTGACAGATCGGGACACAGAACAGCTTGGAGCTTCTTGAAGACCCAAAGGCAGACGTGGTTGATGAAATTGCTGCCAAGCTTGGCCTGAGGAAGGTACTGAGACGCACGGCTGGCCAGGCGGCCTGGGCCGGGCTCTGAGCTGGGCAGGCCCGGGAGGGGCCCGCTCACAGCACAGGTGCAGTGCAGGCTCCATGTTCTCAATCCTTGCTGGTGTTTATTGGGCACCAATGGCTTCTGGGTTTCTCTGACTTAGAGTAAAATGAGAGTATTTCCCCAGGCAAAAAAATAAAATTGTAGCAGTTCAGGAGCTGTTGCATTCCAGCGTGCCAGTCACGCTCTCTGTGGACAGTGCATGCTGGGGGAGGAATCAGCAGCGGGTGGGGGCCGTGGGCAGCTGAGCCTGGTGGGCCGGCTCCCGAGTCAGCATCACAGAGCGCACAGGCTCTGTCACGATGAGCCGGGGGAGCTGCGCCAGACCCTGCCCTGAGCGCTGGGCCCGGCTTCCGCTGTCCCCGGGATGGAGACCTCGCTCCTCGCTCCCTGCCAGCCCTGTTCTGGAGCTCAGGCAGCTGCTGAGGCCTCATTAGATCCCCAGGCGCCTCTCGGGGCATCTCTCTGTCCTGGCTGGGAGACCTGGCCTCTCACCTTACCTGCTTACTTGTCTACCTCTGGAGTAACTTCCGCATGGCTCCCGCATCAGCACAGTGCTGGCCAGAGCCGAGCCGGGCCGCTTATGCTCAGCGGCGGTCCACCGGCACAGCCGGGGTGGGCAGCGACCGCGCCGTGGTCCCCAGGAGTGTGACTGAGACTGCTCTTCCCGAGCCGTGGGCAGAAGCCAGAAGGCGTGGTCATTTGTTTAGGGAGACGTTAAAGAGTTGTTTCCCTTTTTCCTTAAGGTCGGCTGGATATTTACAGACCTTGTCTCAGAAGATACCCGGAAAGGCACGGTCCGGTACAGTCGAAATAAGGTGAGGTGGGGCCGTGGCGTCAGCCGCACCCTCCGGTCTGCACAGCTGCTCTGCAGAGCCTTCAGGGCTGTCCTGACAGGTCTTGGCACACGGGGGCTCTGCCCTGTGAGCAAGCCGGCCCCCCCAACACGAGTGTTTTCCCAGACCGTCCTGTGGGGGCTGCCCGGCGTCTCGGCGCCTCCTGACAGGCTGTGTCTCTGTCAGGACACCTACTTCCTGAGCTCTGAGGAGTGCATCACCGCGGGCGATTTCCAGAACAAGCATCCCAACATATGCCGCCTCTCTCCAGACGGACACTTCGGATCCAAGTTTGTCACTGCGGTGGCTACAGGTATACACGGGGCCACAGCGTACCGTGGCTACAGGTGTACACGGGGCACAGCGCACCGTGGCTACAGGTATACACGGGGCACAGTGCACCGTGGCTACAGGTGTACACGGGACACAGCGCACCGTGGCTACAGGTGTACACGGGGCATAGTGTACTGTGGCTACAGGTGTACACGGGGCACAGCGTACCGTGGCTACAGGTGTACACGGGGCACAGCGCACCGTGGCTACAGGTGTACACGGGCCACAGCGTACCGTGGCTACAGGTGTACATAGGGCATAGCGTACCGTGGCTACAGGTGTTCACGGGGCACAGCGCACCGTGGCTACAGGTGTACACACGGCATAGCGTACCGTGGCTACAGGTGTTCACGGGGCACAGCGCACCGTGGCTACAGGTGTACACAGGGCATAGCGTACCGTGGCTACAGGTGTTCACGGGGCACAGCGCACCGTGGCCACAGGTGTACACGGGGCACAGCACACCGTGGCTACAGGTGTACACAGGGCATAGCGTACCGTGGCTACAGGTGTTCACGGGGCACAGCGCACCGTGGCTACAGGTGTACACGGGGCACAGCACACCGTGGCTACAGGTGTACACAGGGCATAGCGTACCGTGGCTACAGGTGTACACGGGGCACAGCGCACCGTGGCTACAGGTGTACACGGGACACAGCGCACCGTGGCTACAGGTGTACACGGGACACAGCGCACCGTGGCTACAGGTGTACACGGGGCACAGCGCACCGTGGCTACAGGTGTACACGGGACACAGCGCACCGTGGCTACAGGTGTACACGGGGCACAGCGCACCGTGGCCACAGGTGTACACGGGGCATAGCGTACCGTGGCCACAGGTGTACACGGGACACAGCGTACCATGGCCACAGGTGTACACGGGACACAGCGTACCGTGGCCACAGGTGTACACGGGGCACAGCACACCGTGGCCACAGGTGTACACGGGGCACAGCGCACCGTGGATGTCGCACCTGCTCCGTATATTGTGTTGCTCTTTCCAGGGGCTTTCCATTCTGACTTAGTTATAGATTTTTGTGGTTATTAAACTATTTATTTTTAAATCATTAGAAAAGCAGAGGACAGAGCTGCCTCATCCGCTGGTTCCCTGCTAAAATGCCTGCCACGGCAGGGCTAGGCCAGGCAGCGCCGGGTGGGGACGTCTCCTGGGTCTCCCACGTGGGTGGCGGGGCCCAGGTGGGTGAGCCATCACCTGCTGTCACCTGCTGTGTCCCGGAGTGCGCACCAGCGGGGGCTGGGCTGGACGCAGAGGTGGCGTGAACAGGTCTCTGAGATACAGATTTGGCTCCGTCAGCTGTGCCCCAGTGCCTGCCCTGGGGTTTTCTCAATGGGCCTGTGAGACAGGGACCCCTCCTTTCCTTTTGTGTGAAAACTGTGGACTCCTCAGCAACCCCTCCCTAGCCCAGGGCTTGCACCACAGGCCAGCTTCACTCTGGAGATTTGGGTCTAAACTCAGGGGCTGCCTGTGCCCTTCTCCAGAGGAGCCCTAATACCTGTGCAGAAGAAGAGGGCTTTACTGGTGCGTAATGTGTTTATGTGTGTGTATATATATATTTAAAAAGATTTCTTTATTTTACTTGAAAGTCAGAGTTACACAGACAGAGAAGCAGAGGCAGAGAGAGAGAGAGGTAGGTCTTCCACTCGCTGGTTCACTCTCCAATTGGCTGCAACAGGTGGAGCTGCACCAGTCCGAAGCCAGGAGCCAGGAGCTTCTTCCAGGTCTCCCAAACAGGTGCAGGAGCCCAAGGACTTGGGCCATCTTCTTCTGCTTTCCCAGGCCATAGCAGAGAGCTGGATCGGAAGTGGAGCAGCCAGGTCTCAAACTGGCGCCCAAATGGGATGCTGGCACTGCAGGTGGTTGCTTTACCCGCTATGTCACAGCGCTGGCCCCACATAATTTATTTTTTAAAAGACATTTTATTTATTTGAAAGGCAGAGTGGGCCGGCGCCGCGGCTCACTAGGCTAATCCTCCGCCTAGCGTTGCCGGCACACCAGGTTCTAGTCCCGGTCGGGGCGCCGGATTCTGTCCCGGTTGCCCCTCTTCCAGGCCAGCCCTCTGCTGTGGCCAGGGAGTGCAGTGGAGGATGGCCCAGGTCCTTGGGCCCTGCACCCCATGGGAGACCAGGAAAAACACCTGGCTCCTGGCTCCTGCCATCGGATCAGCGCGGTGTGCCGGCCGCAGCGCGCCGGCCGCGGCGGCCATTGGAGGGTGAACCAACGGCAAAAGGAAGACCTTTCTCTCTGTCTCTCTCTCTCACTGTCCACTCTGCCTATCAAAAAAAAAAAAAAAAAAAAGAAAGGCAGAGTGACAGAGACCACCAATTCATTCCCCAAAGAGCGCAAATGTCAGAGCGTGGCCAGGCTGAAGCCAGGAGTCAGGAACTCCATCCAGATCTCCCTCATGGACCGCAGGGACCTCAGATACTTGGGCCATGATTTGCTGTCTCCTGGGCACATTAACAGGAAGGTGGAATGGAAGCAGAGGAGGCAGGACATGAACTGGCACCCTGGTATGGCCATTAAAAAGGGTGGCTTATCCTATGCCACTACAGTGCTGGCCCCAATTCCTTTATTTTTTTGTATTTTTAAGTTTTATTAATTTATTTGAAAGTTGAGACAGGGAGAGACAGAAGGAGGTCTTCCTTCCACTAGTTCATGCCCCAAATGATCACAACGGCCAGAGCTGACCTGATTCAGAGCCAGGAGCTTCTTCCGGGTCTCCCATGCCTGTGCAGGGGCCCAAGGACTTGGGCCATCCTCTGCTGCTTTCCCGGGTGCATTAGCAAGGAGCTGGATCAGAAGTGGAGCAGCCGGGTCTTGAACAAGCACCCATATGGGATGTCGCGATTGCAGGTGGCGGCTTTACCCAGTACACCACAATGCTGATCCCAAGACTTATTTTTTATATATTTGAACACTGGAGGGGCCAGCGTTGGCGTAGTGGGTAAGACTACCGCCTACAGTGCCAGCATCCCACCTGGGCACCCACGTGGGAGGTCCTGATGAAGCTCCTGGCTGCTGGCTTCAGACCAGCCCAGCTCCAGTTGTGGCCATTTGAGAAGAGAACCAGTGAATGGAAGATCTCCTTCTTTCTGTCTCTCCCTCACTCTCTGTAACTCTGCCTTTCAAATAAATTAATTAATCTTTAAAAATCAGTTTAAGGCTGGCGCCGCGGCTCACTAGGCTAATCCTCCGCCTGCAGCCCCGGGTTCTAGTCCTGGTTGGGGCGCCGGATTGTGTCCCGGTTGCCCCTCTTCCAGTCCGGCTCTCTGCTGTGGCCAGGGAGTGCAGTGGAGGATGGCCCAAGTGCTTGGGCCCTGCAACCCATGGGAGACCAGGAGAAGCACCTGGCTCCTGGCTGCAGATCGGCACAGCGCGCCGCTGTGATGACCATTTAGGGGGTGAACCAGCGGAAAAAGGAAGACCTTTCTGTCTCTCTCTGTCTAACTCTACCTGTCAATATGTATATATATATATATATGTATGTTTAAAAATAATAGAGGAGAGGGAGAGAGATCTTCGGTCGGCTGGTTCACTCCCTAAATGGCTGCGGTGTCCAGGGCTGGGCCAGGTTGAAGGCAGCAGCCTGATGCTCCATCTGGGTTTCCCACCTGGGGGGCAGGGCCAGACACTGGAGCTGTGCATTAGCAGGAAGCTTGGTCAGAAGCGGAGCAGAGACGCACAGCCCCACGCTCTGCTGAGGTGGAGGTGTCCCCCTCGGTGACTTAATCACTGGCTCAGGTGCCTGCCCACAATGCCAGAATTTTCTGTCTTTTTTTTTTTTTAAGATTTATTTATTTTATTTGAAAGTGTTGCAGAGAGGGAGGAGGAGGAGGAGGAGGAGGGAGGGAGGGAGGGAGGGAGGGAGGGAGGGAGGGAGGGAGAGAGAGAGAGAGAGAGAGAGAGAGAGAGAGAGAGGTCTTCCATTTTCTGGTTCGCTTCCCAGAAGGCCGTAATGAGCCAGGCTGAAGCCAGGAACCAGGAGCTTGTTCCAGGTCTACCACGTGGGTAGCAGGGACCCCTGTCCTTGGACCATCTTCAACTGCTTTCTTAGGTGCATTAGCAAGGAGCTGGATCAGAGGGTGCAGGCGGGACCCAAACCGGCACCCACCTGGGATACCAGCGCTCTCAGGTGGTGGCTTTATCCACTGTGCCACAGCACTGGGCCCCCACGAATTTTTATTGTTTGCTATATTTTGTTCAACTTGTCCTTCCTAGTATAAGATCCATTTGGATTGATAGGCAATGTCTTCTTGAGAAGAAAGTACTTTTTGTGGATTGAGAGACAAAGTGTTTCTTTTTTTAATTAAAAAAATTTTTTTGAAGGCTTTATTTATTTGAAAGGCAGAGTTAGAGAGGGTGGTAGAAATTCTATCTGCTGGTTCATTCCTCAAATGGCCGTGAAGGCTGGCTGGGCCTGGGCCTGCATGAAGCCAGGAGCCAGGAGCTCCCTCTGAGTGTCCCACGTGGGCGGCTGGGGCCCCAGCACTCCCATCATCTTTCACAGCTTTCCAGGGTGCGTTAGGAGCTGGATTGGAAGCGGAGCAGCCAGGATTTGAACCAGTGCCCATATAGGATGCTGGAACTGCAGGAGGCAGCTTAACCCACCATGACAGCCGGCTCCAAGTCAGTTGTTTGACAAGTTATTTAATGTGACACGATTCACATGCAAATTACCTGTAGGGTTTTATTTTGTGAATTGTCGCTGGGTTCCAGTGTGTGTGGGAGTTGTGTTAGGATTGGAGAGGGAGTTCTGAAGGCTGCTGGGCGGGGACCGCGGGAGAGGAGACACGGACAGCAGAGGGCGTCGGAGACTGCAAGAGGGTGCAGAGGCGATGGCACCTCACAGCTCAGGGTGGTCCGTGCCAGCCCTGGGCGTGGGGGCGGCGAGGAAAGTGTTCCCTCCTTATTCTCTCCGTTGCGAGCCCCCTCCTGCATCGGCTGGTGTTGTGGGTGCAGTAGATGAGGCTGTCGGGCTCAGCCTCCTTTGGAGCGCGCTGTGACACTGCTCTCCTGCACACAACTAGAATGGTAGCACGCATGTGGAATGTACGGACAACACGGCACATGTGGCTGGCTGTGAGCGCTGCCTCCCTCCTTGTGGTGTCCTGAGGTGTCACGCGGTTCTGCGTCCTGGCCGTGCCCAGCTGGACTCCCTGCTCAGCTCTGCACTGCGGCCTAGACGCCCCGTGCGTGCTGCTGCTGGGTGTGTGTGTCTGTGGGTGGTGTGGGAGAGGTTGGATTCTAGACTCAGCTTCATGTGCAGAAGTTTCCTGTGTTGGTGTGTTTGAGGCCGTGTGGGATGTAGAGCAGTGTCTTGTTGTCTGGGATTCCCCTGTACCAGGCAAGACTCCTGTGTCTTCGCCTCCAGCCCACTGCGATTGGCAGTGCCACACACCATTGAGACCACAGGAAGTGCCTTCAGGAAGTGGAGGGAGTCACCTGCACTAAGAACTACGGACGTGGACTTTCGTGGGCCCCAGTGGTCAGAGGACCCTTTTTATTATGCCTTTTTAAAAATTTATTTATTTGAAATATTTATTTTATTTTATTAAGATTTATTTACTTATTTTAAAGTCAGAGTTAAACAGAGATAGAAGGAGAGGCAGAGAGAGAGAGGTCCTCTATCCACTGGTTCACTCCCCAGTTGGCTGCAACGGCTGGAGCTGTGCCTCTCCAAAGCCAGGAGCTTCCTCCAGGTCTTACCATGTGTGTGCAGGGGCCCAACGACTTGGGCCATCCTTTTTCTTTCTTTCTTTCTTTTTTTTTTTTTTCTTTTTAAAGGTTTATTTCTTTATTTGGAAGTCAGAGTTACACACAGAGAGAAGGAGAGGCAGAGAGCAAGTGGTCTTCCATCCGATGGCTCACTCCCCAGTTGGCCACAATGGTCAGAGCTGAGCTGATCCGGAGCCAGGAGCTTCTTCCGGGTCTCCCACATGGGTGCAGGGGCCCAAGGACTTGGGCCATCTGCTACTGCTTTTCCAGGCTAAAGCAGAGCTGGATCGGTAGTGGTGCAGCTGGGACTTGAACTGGTGCCCATTTGGGATGCTGGCTCTGCAGGTGGCAGCTTTAGCTGCTACACTTCAGCGCCGGCCCAAATTTATTTTATTTATTTAAAAGGCAGAAAGAGAGGTTCTACCCACTGATTCACCAGTCCAGATAGCCCCAACAGCCATGGCTGGGCCAGGCCTGAGCCACGAGCCTGGAACTCTCTCTGGGTCTCCCACAGGGTGGCAGGGACCCAAGGACTTGGGCCATCGTCTGCTTTCCCAGGCACATAGCGTGGAGCTGGGAGGCAAGTGATCAGCCAGCTCTACTGCTGCTTTGTGGGGAAGCACTCCCCAGCCAGAGGAGCTGGGGCAGTTAGAATCAGTTTCTTACTTGGGCACTGCCTCGTGTGGAACGTTTGGCAGTCATATGCGTTTTCCAGGAAATTTTGCCTCTGAAATTGTCACTGTTAAGCAGAAAGTTGTGGAGCTGTGAGACAGTAGACAGCCAAATCGGAAATGAGCTCTGCGGTCAGTGCCGTACTGTCGGGTGTGCGTCCAGGCCCGGGAGCTGGGGCCAGCCCCCCAACCCCCGCCGTGCCCTGCACTGGTTCTCTGCGGGGCCTGCGGGCTGTGGGAAGCTGCACTTGCTGCAGCCGCACCCCCGAGTCCTCACTGGACAGCAGTGCCCTGGGGGCGAGGTGCTCCCACCACACAGCCAGTGGCTCCGGAGATGCCCGTCTCCGGGTGCACCACAAAACCTGGTGGACCAAGACTCTTAAAGGGAAGGAGGAGTGAAGATTATGTGTGCTTGGTGCCTGGCACAAGCTGTAGGAGTCTTGGGGCTGCGCCTGGACCACGCACAGCAGTGTTGGTGTCTGTGTCTTCATTTGGTACCCTCCCAGTTTGGATCTGGGAAAAGTACTTGGTGAGGATCTGCTTTCAAAACACCTGCAGAGCTGCCAAGCTCCTCTGTCCCTGCTCCTCTCGGCCCAGAGCGGACTTCCCACAGGCCATTTCCGAGGGAAACGGGAGTTCCGGTGTCCTGCCTGCTGTGGGGCTTCCTGCAGGGCTGCTCTGTTTCGAAAGGGGAGTTGGCCAAGCCAGCGCTGTGGCGTCGCAGGTGCAGCCACTGCCTGTGACGCTGGCATCTCACATGGGGGCCAGTTCACGTCCCGGCTGCTCCACCTGCAGTCCCGCTCCCTGCTGACGCACAGGGGGAAGCTGTGGACGACGGCCCGTGTGCTGTGCCCCCGCTACCAACGTGGGAGACCTGAAGCTCCTCGCTAGGCTTGGCCCAGCCCTGGCTGTTGTAGGGAGAGATGCAAAGTTCTCTCTTTCTTTCTTTCTTTCTCTAACTCTGGCTTTCTAATATATAAATATTGAAAAAAAAGTTTCCAGTCACCTCAGTGAGTTGGGCTGTGGAGACTGTGTGGATTAATTTGCCTTTTTTTTTTTTTTTTTTTTAAAGTCTTCAGTGTCTCAAACACTGGGTTGTGTGATTCTCTCCGTCTCCAAGGCCAGGTTTTTCTTTCTCTGATGAGCTTAATAATCAGTCTAGAAACTGGCGCAAGTCTTCAGGGGCAGAATGAAGCGCACACACGTGCCCACACCCTCCTCGCCCCGCACCCCTGCCTCTCGCCCTGCTCTTTGAGAAGCCGGTGAGGACGCTCACCCAGGCATGGCCTCTCGTCCAAGCATTCGTGTTAGGGCGGAGAGAAGGCAGCAGCTCGTGTGGCTCAGTGTCTCAGAGCCAGCAGTGCGGGCCTGTCGTGGGCCAGGGTGAGTGGGCAGGAAGCCCCCGCTTTGTCTTCCCAGGCTGGCCTGGATCCCGTCATTCACCTTTCTGATGTCTTGGCCATCAGGTCTGGTGTCTGATAATTGTTTGAAAGCCACTTGCACTAAATTCCTGTCCCCAGTCAGTAAATTATTTAGTTTTTGTCAAAGAAACTGAAGTAGAGATATTAAGGTTTTGTTTTTCTAATTATTTATTTACTTGAAAGAGGAATGAGAGGGAGACAGACTTTTCATCTGCTAGTTCACTCCCCAAACTAAATGTGTTAACACGTGTGTCTGCGCCCGGCTGCGCCGCGGCAGGAGCTCCGTCTGGGTGGTAGTGACTGAAGTGCTGGAGCCGGCCCCCGGGGTGTGCCCCCCTAGGAAGCTGGGTCCCGAACCTGGGGTCGCCGGTGAGGGATGTGGCATCCCAAGCCTGTCCCAACCACTGCACCCAATGCCTACATCCTGAATGCTTCTGTTTTCCCGAGTTGTAAGACAGCAGTCCTGGGAGCTGGCAGGGCCCCCCCTCAGCTCCATCTCTGCCCTCTTGCCCAGCGCGGGCCGCTCTGCGTGGCCTCACCCGGCCTCGTTGCAGGGACCTGCTGTGACTTGACCGTTTCACCCCTGCTCTGCAGCAGTTGGTACCACCCGTGTGTCTAACTTTACGTCCTTGTAAGATATGGGGAGAAAGCAAGATAGTAAGAGAGCCGTACAAGGGAGGGTGGTGTGGGAGCACCGTGCCGGGGGTCCTGCTCCGAGCTGTGCACACTCCACACCCAGCAACACCGCCTGGTGACGCTGACCTGGGTGGCCATGTCGGTTTCTGCAGGGCGGAGGCGGCTGTGTACACAGTGCGAGGGCGGGATTGTTTCTGTCTTGTTCTCCCACCCGCGCTGCCATGCACACGGGAGCTGGAGCGTGGCGTTGGGCTGCTGTGGCGGTGCAGTGGGCTAAGCCACCGTCTCACTCGCGTCCAGAACGCTGCTCTTGGGAGGGTGTCCGAGGACGGCCCAAGTGTTTGGGCTGCTGCCACCCAGAGGGGGACCAGGACGGAGCTCCTGCTTCAGCCCGGCCCAGCAGTGCTGTTACAGCCATCTGGGGAGGGACCAGCAGTTGGAAGGCCTCTCCTCCTCGTTCAATAAAGAAGTCTTAAACACAAGCAACGACGTGCTGTTGCTGGCGCCTGTGCTGCTTTGAGCACCGAGAGGCCTTAGGGCTTCGAGGGGCTGAGCCAGCCCTGGGAGCCATGCAGAGAACGCTGCTCGGTGATTCCTGACCGGGCCGTCACTGGGCACCTGTCTGGGATGCCCGCGTGTGTAGGGCGTCCAGGCCTTACTCCCCAGCCACCTGTCAGGCCGCCCAAGACAGTTGTTGCCAGGGACTGGTGGTGTATTCTGGCTGTTTCCTTCTGAAGCTCTTTGTCTTGCAGGTGGTCCCGATAACCAGGTCCACTTCGAAGGCTACCAGGTGTCCAATCAGTGCATGGCGCTGGTCCGCGACGAGTGCCTGCTGCCCTGCAAGGACGCCCCTGAGCTCGGCTACGCCAAGGAGTCCAGCAGCGAGCAGTACGTGCCTGACGTGTTCTACAAGGTAAAGTGCGGGCGTGGAGTGGCCTAGGGGGCGTGGAGCGGCCTAGGGGGCGTGGAGCGGCCTAGGGGGCGTGGAGCGGCCTAGGGGGCGTGGAGCGGCCTCGGGGGCGTGGAGCGGCCTAGGGGGCGTGGAGCGGCCTAGGGGGCGTGCTGGCCGGCCGCCAGCCGTGGAGGTTGGAGCCTTGCGACTGAGGAGGCGCTGTCCCCGGTGTGGGGGTGCCTGGCTGTGAGGTGCGACCCAGATCAGACTGTTGCCATGCAGATACTCAGCTTTTTGGCTTTTTTTAAAAAATTGATTTATTTAGAGACCAGCGCTGTGGCTTAGTGGGGCCTCCACCTGCAGTGCTGGTGTCCATGTGGGTGCTGGTTTGGGTCCAGGCTGTTTTACGTCCAATCCAGTTCCCTGCTGTAGCCTGGGAGGGCAGTGGAGGGTGGCCCGAGTCCTTGGGCTCCTGCACTCACGTGGGAGACCTGGAAAAGGCTCCTGGCTCCTGGCTTTAGCTCAGCACAGCTCTGGCCATTATGGCCATCTGGGGAGTGAACCAGTGGATGGAAGAGCTCTCTTTCTCTTTCTCTCTCTCTTTCTACCTCTCTACCTGTGCCTCTCTGTCACTCTGCCTTTCAAATAAAAAATTAAAAAAAAAAAATTTTTTTTGACAGGCAGAGTGGACAGTGAGAGAGAGAGACAGAGAGAAAGGTCTTCCTTTGCCGTTGGTTCACCCTCCAATGCCTGCCGCGGCCGGTGCACCGCGCTGATCCGATGGCAGGAGCCAGGTACTTCTCCTGGTCTCCCATGGGGTGCAGGACCCAAGCACTTGGGCCATCCTCCACTGCCCTCCCGGGCCACAGCAGAGAGCTGGCCTGAAAGAGGGACCCTGAGCTGATGTGGGTCTCCCACCCGGTGGCTTAACCACAGCACCCAGTGCCAACCCCAGTCTTCTTTTTATTTTTTATTCATTTTTTGAAAATATTTATTTATTTGAAAGGCAGAGTTACAGAGAGGCAGAGAGAAAGAGAGGTCTTCCATCTGCTGGTTCACTCCCCAGGTGGGCACAACAGTGAGACCTGTGCTGACCTGAAGCCAGGAGCCAGGAGCTTCTTCCGGGTTTCCCACTAGGTGCAGTCCTTGGGCCATCATCTGCTTTCCCAGGCCACAGCAGAGAGCTGGATGGGAAGTGGAGCAGGCAGGACTCAAACCAGTGCCCCTATGGGAGCCGGCACTGCAGGCGGCTGCTTTACCCATTACGCCAGTCCCAGCCCCTCCAGTCTTACTTTCAGTTGTAAAGGAACTACTTTCTGATTTATCATTAACTGGGGCTTGACTGGTTTTAAGTACTCACCACGTTAAAATTTGCATTTTATTTCCATATCTTATTGTGATTTTCTTGCACTTAAGATTAATATTCCCTTTTGCGTGACATATGTGATATTTCCCAAATCATCCAGCTGTGTCCATAGATTGCTCATTTGTCCTCTGTTAATAGAACAGGCTTCAGGGACTTCCCAAAATTATTTACAGCCCTGTAGGATTTGAAAGCATTCTGCTTATTGTATGTTTCATGAAAATTCCAGTTTGAGTAAAGAGAACTCTAAAAGCTCGCATTTCCATAATCCTTTTAGTCCTGCTATGCATTCTGGGTGGGTTTCAGATAGGCCTGAAGTAAGTGTTCTTCCTGGTGTTGCTTGTGGTAAACTCGGGAAACAGCCGTCCACCGTCAGAGGGCCATTAGACTACACTGTGTTACATGTACTCAACAGATGTGTGTGCCAATTATGTAAAGATTTGAGGGGCTGGCACCGTGGCTCACTGGGTTAAACCTCCGCCTGAGGTGCCGGCATCCCACATGGGCACCGGGTTCTAGTCCCAGTTGTTCCTCTTCCAGTCCAGCTCTCTGCTGTGGCCCAGGAGTGCAGTGGAGGATGGCCCAAGTGCTTGGGCCCTGCACCCGCATGGGAGATCAGGAGGAAGCACCTGGCTCCTGGCTTCAGATCCGCGCAGCGCCGGCCGTAGCAGCCATTTGGGGAGTGAACCAACGGAAGGAAGACCTTTCTCTCTCTCTCTCTCACTGTCTATAATTCCATCTGTCCAAAAAAAAAAAAAAAAAAACAAGAATGCTTGCAAAAAAAAAAAAAAAGACACGAGATCAAACTCTGGATATAGTTACTTTTTTTTTTTTTTTTTTTTTTTTTTTTTGACAGGCATAGTGGACAGTAAGAGAGAGAGAGACAGAGAGAAAGGTCTTCCTTTGCCGTTGGTTCACCCTCCAATGGCCATCGCGGCACTGATCAGCGCACCGCACTGATCCGATGGCAGGAGCCAGGTACCTATCCTGGTCTCCCATGGGGTGCAGGGCCCAACCACTTGGGCCATCCTCCACTGCACTTCCCTGGCCACAGCAGAGAGCTGGCCTGGAAGAGGGGCAACCAGGACAGAATCCGGCTCCCTGACCGGGACTAGAACCCGGTGTGCCGGCGCCGCAAGGCGGAGGATTAGCCTAGTGAGCCGTGGCGCCGGCCCCAAACTCTGGATATAAAACAGAAAGCAGACCTGATTCTGGAGTGCAGACCCAGTGTTGTGTCTTCGAGATAGGTGTGGACGCTCACATGCACTGCACACGCGTCTGCGTGCTTTACGTGGCCTATGCGGTGCTGTTTGCCCGTCCTCCGTCTCCCGTGCTCTGTCCCCGTCCTCTGTCCCCGTCCTCTGTCTCTATCCGTCCTCTGTCTCCCGTGCTCTGTCCCTGTCCTCTGTCCCCGTCCTCTGTCTCCTATCCTCTGTCCCCGGCTTCTGTCTCCTGTCCTCTGTCTCCTGTCCTCTCCGTCCTCTGTCTCCCGTCCTCTGTAGCCAGAAAAGGATAGAGATCCTGACACTGGGGAGAGACCGTGAAGGCTGATCTGCGTGAATCCCACGTGTGTCCGGGGGATCGGTGCAGTGGGTCAGGTCCAGTCCTGGCTCTGACCCCAGTCCAGCCTCCTGCTGTTGCACACCCTGGGAGGCAGCAGTTGATGACTCCCAGAGTGAGTCCTGGCACCCGTGTGAGAGGTCCAGGTGGAGTTCCTGGCTCCTGGTTGCTGCCTGGCCCAGCCCCAGGTGTTGTAGGCATTTGACAGATGAACCAGTGGTTAGAAGACCTCTGTCTCTCCTTGCCTTTCAGATAAAAATTTAAAAAATAAAAAAGCACATTCCTTATTTTTTTCCCCTAAAGCCTACCGGGTCACAGGTTTTTCCCAAGAGCCTAGACTGGCTGTTGCTCACACGCTGTGTTGAGTTGAGGGATGTGCACGCTTTCCCACATTTTCCTTTTTTATTATTTGCTTACTTTTTAAAGATTTATATATTTATTTGAAAGGCAGAGTTACAGAAAGAATAGGAGAGACGTGGACAGAGAGAGAGATTCCATTTGTTGGTTCGCTCTCCCAAGTGGTTGCCATGGCTGGGACTGGGCCAGGCTGAAGCCAGCACCTGGCAGCTCAGTCCAGGTCTCCCACGTGGGTGGTGGGGGCCCAACGACTTGGGCCATCGTGTGCTGCTTCGAGCATGCATGAGCAGGGAGCTGGATCCAAAGTAGGGCAGCTGTGGGCTGGAGGTACTGTGGTAAAGGATGTGGGGTCCCTATCCACAGGTTAACCCATTGCACCACAGTGCCTGCCTGAGACTTTTTTTTTAATATTTATTCTGAAAAAAATAGAGGTTGATGCTCCATCCAGTGGTCCACTCCCCAGATGGCTGCCATGCCTGGAACTGGGCCAGGCTGGAGCCAGGAGCCAGGAGCTTCATTTTGGCCTCCTGCATGACTGACAGAGGCCCACATTCTTGGGCCGTCCTCTGCTGCCTTCCCCAGGCCACCAGCAGGGAGCTGGATCAGAAGCGGACCAGCCGGGACTCAAAGTGGCACCCACATGGGCTGCCAATGTTGGCAGGCAGTGGCTTTGCCCATGACACCACAGTGCCGGCCCCTCTGAGACTTTCTAAACAGATTTGTCTGTCACAGGTGGTGTGTGCGCCGCAGTTCATCAGGCAGTGAAGAAAGGAGGCTCTCGACCGCACTGGCAGAGCCTCCACCTAGGAGGCGTGTCTGGCCCGCGGCATCTCCCTTGGCAGGGCCGGAGCCCGGGGCCTCAGGGTTCCCACCTGCAGGAGTCAGGCCCGGATGTGCATGGCCCTGGGCGGAGGGGCGGAACCGTGTAGCTGTGCTTGGTCTGCTTGGTCTGCCGCCCCCTTGGCCTCTGCTGGGTCCTGTGCAGCCCTTGTTTGTTGTCACACCCTGGGGACAGCAGTGGCGCCCAGGACACTCGCACTCGCGAGGACCGGGGGTCCTGTGCGCCCTGCGGGCATCCGAGACCAGCTGGAAGGCACTCGCTCTCTGCTGGGCTGGTTTTGTTTTGTTTTTAAGATTTATTTTATTTATTTGAAAGAGTTGCAGAGAGAGGTAGAGACAGAGAGAGAGAGGTCTTCCATCTGCTGGTTCACTCCCCAGATGGCTGCAATGGCTGGAGCTGCACTGATCCCCAGCCTGGAGCTTCTTCCAGGTCTCCCACGTGGGTGCAGGGGCCCAAGGGCTTGGGCCACCTTCCACTGCTTTCCCAGGCCACAGCAGAGAGCTGGATGGGAAGAGGAGCAGCCGGGACCAGAACCGGCGCCCATGGGGATGCTGACGCTGCAAATCAGAGCGTGACCCCGGGCTGTTTCCTGTGCTGGGTATTGAAGACGCTGTGTCCCTGCTCTCTGCTGTGACGTCAGGTCAGCTGCCGATGTCCCTGTCCTCTCCTGTCCTCTCCTGCCCACTCCTGGCACTGAGAAGCAGCACAGGCAGGGTTTTGTCGCCTTTCCCGCAGCAGGGTGCTGCAGCAGTCAGCCAGACTTGCTGCCGACCTGGCGCAGAGCCCACATGCTCTGAGCTGCCAAAGTCTTAGGTCCTGGATTTCTCTCTGACGTTGAGACCACGTTGCCTCCGCTGCCAGACGCGGCCTGTGGTGGGTAGCGAGGCGTCCGGGCGCCGTGTCGGACTGCTGTGTCTTGCTCCGGGTGCAGATAAGACTGCTGACGCTCGGCAGGCTGCCAGACTTGGCACTAAGACGTCCTCCTCCCGGCGAGCTCCTCCTCCATTTCTTAGAGCCCATTAGAAAGTGGCTGCCTTTTGAACGTGGTGTGCAGGGCCTGGGTCGGCTGGAAGAACATGCCAGTGAAGGCGAGGGAGACAAACAGCTACCTGTCTTCCCCCAGGGGAGAAAGGGGCTACAGCACCTTTATTTCTTTGGAGACCAGAGAAGTACTGTTGGGCAGTTAAATCTGACAGAAGAGCAGGACACACAAAGGAGGGGGGCATGTAAGCAGAAGACCCCCAGGGGAGGATTAGCGTGAACAGGCGCTGGGAAGACGTGCCTGCGCATCAGAGCTCAGTGAGATCTGGGGATGAATCCCAGGTGGGCTGCGTGTGGGAGCTGTTGCAGGTTCGTTCTTGTAGAGGCACGTGCGCATTCTTGGAAATGGTGATTCGGTTTGATTGGATTTGATTCCTGTCTCCTACGTACCTCCCCCATAGAGACACTGCCTCTTTGGGGCCCAGGACCCACTCGGCTGCCCCAGTTCTTTGGCACCCTGCCCCAGCTGGCTGTGCCGCCTGCGGCTGCTGCTCCTCACGCAGAGGGGCAGTGACCATTGCCCAGGTCGGGCCGGCTGAGGGAGGCCAGTAGGACAGACTGTGTGACTGCAGCAGTGGCGGGGGTGGGGGTGGGCTGCACAGGAGGGAAAATCGTCAAAGTGCTGGCCAGGAGGCCCGGGGCCAGGTTCCTGAGCAGCGTGTGGTCGGAGGGAGGCTGGCAGAGACTCGCGGGACAGGGCTCCGGGGCCGGTGAGTCAGGACGCCTGCGGATGGGGCTGCTTGCCGGGCATGGCCTGTGCTCCCCCAGGAGCTGCGCCTGGCGTCCAGTGGGGCCTGAGGGCTGCAGTGAGTGCAGACTTTCATGTAAGGCCCTGTAATTGGATATTAGGGATGTATAATTTATATGTGACTCAGCAAATGATTTATATAATGTTAAGTGATGATTTAGGTAGAAAATAGGACCGCTTCTTGCAGACTCTTTAATGAAAAGCATCAGTGCTTATGAATTTATTTCCAGAGCCCTGTTTGAACTCAGCATGTTTGACATAAATCAGATCTAATTGTCATTTTATGATTAATGAACATATGCTGGCCGTTTTTCCCCATAATTAAACTTTATGTTCCATGCATCTGACAAAGCAAAACAGGTTTTAGACTTTGACAGATTGGTGGTGGGGTGTGTGTGTGTGTACATGTTCATTTATGCGTGTGTGTGTACATGTTCATTTATGTGTGTGTACATGTTCATTTATGTGTGTGTACATGTTCATTTGTGCGTGTGTGTACATGTTCATTTATGCGTGTGTGTACATGTTCATTTATGTGTGTGTACATGTTCATTTATGCACATGTGTGTACATGTTCATTTATGTGTGTGTACATGTTCATTTATGCGTGTGTGCATGTTCATTTATGCACATGTGTGTACATGTTCATTTATGTGTGTGTACATGTTCATTTATGTGTGTGTACATGTTCATTTATGTGTGTGCATGTTCATTTATGTGTGTGTACATGTTCATTTATGTGTGTGCATGTTCATTTATGCGTGTGTACATGTTCATTTATGTGCGTGTGTGTGCATGTTCATTTATGCGTGTGTGTACATGTTCATTTATGCGTGTGTACATGTTCATTTATGTGCGCGTGTGTGTACATGTTCATTTATGCGTGTGTGTACATGTTCATTTATGTGCGCGTGTGTGTGCTGTTCCTTTATGCATGTCTTATGCACAGGCCCTGAGTTTACCATAAAGTCAGGTTTTCAGAGGTGTGAGCAAGATTTTTCAGAATCACCGCTCCGGGGCAGCGTCGTGGTGCGGCGGGCGGGTTAGGCCACTGCGTGTGGTGCTGGCACCCACGTCGGAGCGCCAGTCTGAGCCCCGGCTGCACCACCTCAGCCTGGCTGCGGGGGAGTGCTCCTGGGAAGTCGGCAGATGATGGCTCAGGTGCTTGGCCCTGGCACTCGTGTGGGAGACCTGAATGGGGTTGTTGGCTCCTGGCGTCTGTCGCTGCTCCTGCTGTTGTAGCCATTTTGGGAGTGAATCAGAGGATGGAAGATCCCTGTCTGTCTCTCCCTCACCCCCTGTCACTCTGCCTTTCAAATAAATAAGGAAGGTTTTACCAAACGGAAGGATTAGCACTCTGATCCTGGAGGCTCGGGTGGGCGCAGATGGAGCCTGAGGGGAGAGCCTGGCCCTCCTGCCTGTGCCTCTGCCCGCTGTCGAGCCAGCCGCAGCGCCCCATGCAGGGGTGTGCCCGGCTCCACGCGCTCGCCTCCCGTGGCCTCCCGCGTGCGAGGGCAGGCACGGTCGCCCTCTCTGGAGGAGGCTGTGGTGAAGCAGCTCGGGAATACTGAGGGGTGTGCACATCCACGTCCCTTCTGTCCTGAAGCTGCGCGGGAATCGCTGAGTCTCAGGGGAGAAGGTGTGCGGCGCACACCTGCCCTGGCCGCCCCACTCGGGTCTCACCTTGATTCTTTCAGGACATAGACAAGTTCGGCAATGAGATCACCCAGCTGGCCCGGCCCCTGCCGGTGGAGTACCTGATCATCGACGTAAGTGTCCCCGCTGGGGGTGGCATCAAGGGCACTGTGAGGAGGCTCTGGGCTTCCTGAAACTCACCGTTCTGAGGGGTTTCCATTCTGTTCTGGGGTTGAATATCCTTGGAAACCGTCTGGGCGTGAGTGTTCCCTATGTTAGCCTGCACAGGAGCGGACACCCCAGGCCAGGCCCTCAGCCGAGCCAGTGGCTTCCAAGCCACGCGAGCGCCCCAGCGTGCGCAGTGCTGCAGGAGGCGACGTGGCTGCACAGCCCAGGTGCTCATGGGGGCCTGGGACACTTGTGGCTCGGTGTTCTATGTAGGGGCTGGCGTGGCTTCACCGGGGCCTGTTCTGCACCTGCAGAGACTGTTCACCGCAGCAGTTGAGGGTCCCGGAGAGCTAGCCGTGCCGTGGCCACAGGCCGTGGGCACAGCAGCACACATGTCCCAGGTGAACGCGGCAGCAGCCAGGGCCTCTCCAGCTCCCTGTGGGAGCTCCGTCCATGCTTCCTGCCTGCTGCCACTTCAGGGTCCACTCAGGACAGGCGTGGGAGTCAGGCAGTAAATTAGCATTGCATTTGGAGCCGCGGGTCCCCGCGAGCCAAGCCCTTCGACGCTCCGTTCCGGCTGACGCTTCGGAGGACATGCTGCGAGCCAGGCCGTAAAGCAGCTGCGCTTTAGGCTACCTGGGGGTGACTGGGTGAAGACAGCACCTCCCCCACCCCTTCCTCTGATGAAGGGGGTTCCGCTCTCCCCTTGGCGTGCCTGCTCCGCAGCGCTGGGTCGCAGGGTGTACTGCAGCCTGTGCTGCCCCGGCTGTGGGTCTGAGGCCGGGTGTACACAGTGCAGGCAGAGCCACAGTGCAGGCCCGGCAGGCAAGCAGGAGCCAGCGCTCCTGAGGTATGGGGGCTGTCAGGTCCCCAGGACGGTGAGGGTCTGTGCACCAGACGAGGAGCTGCGTGCCCCGCCCACCCGTCGTGACATCATCAATACAGTTACAGTTACACGGGCCACACAGGCTTTGCTTCTGGCCCTCACCAGGGACTGTGTGCAAGACCAGCATGTGCCCCTGCCTCCAGCGAGGACTGTCTCTTTCTGCCTTCCCAGGGGGAGGGACCCAGGGCGTCCTGGGCTTTTGCGGTGTGGACAGGGCCTCCACTGACTTTGTCATCCTGACTGCAGCTTGGCTGAGCACTGGGGGTCCTCATACTGCCCAGGTTGGGAGGGGCGCCTCACCTCTCGTTTGCACAGGAGCACGGTGAGGCTTGGGGCCCTCAGTGCCAGCATGTGGCTCTGGCCCAAGAGGCCGGCTCATGGCTGTGGCTCCAGAGTGCCTGGGTGCTCAGTTAGTCCTTCCAGGGCAGTTGGTTCTGGCATAGCCAGATTCAGGGTGCCAGCCATCCCGAGACAGCTCACTGCCTTTGCTGATGAGAGAGCATCCAGGACAGCGCTGCTCTGTGGACGCAGCCACACAGGGCCCAGAGCTCTGCCCTGAGTGTGCAAAGTCTGTGACTGCCGCAGGGGAGCCGGGGCAGCCCACACGCGGGCACTCTTGCGGGGAGTGCGGCTCCCTGCTCATTTCCCAGTGTCCCAGCCTGCCGACCGTGCGCCCTCTACACCTGCAGCTCCTGATGCCAGGAGAGAGGGGGGAGCTGTGCCCGTGACTCCTGGCCCCTCCCAGGAGAGCCCACAGCTCTGAGGGGCAGGTGCCTCGGGAAGGGGCCCAGCACATGTTGTGCTGCCCAGGTCGCGCGTGCACTGCGGTGCCGACCCGAGAACAGGGATTGTCGTCCAGCGTCAGCCCTGAGCGGCCTCCTGGCCTCTCCCTGTGTGGCTCCTTTGGCGCGGGCGAGGGCGCACACCAGCCTTTGTTTGTCCATGGCCGGCGGGGAACAGCTGTGGGGACCCTCGGTGGTGCAGCGCGGCCTGCTCCAGGCATGCTGGGGGCGGGCACAGGGCCAGCTGTGGCCCAGCTGCAGTACAGCTTCAAGACCGGATCCTTGAGTTTGTGTCCCTCGGGAAGGACAGCAGGGGTGCTCCCTCGGGGAGGACAGCGGGGGTGCTCCCTCAGGAGGACAGCGGGGGTGCTCCCTCGGGGAGGACAGCGGGGGTGCTCCCTTGGCCTGGACTCACTGCACTGGGTTCAGGCGCCGTGGCTTCCTCTGTTGGAGGCGCCGTGGCTTCCTCTGTGTGCTGCTCACGGTTTGTCTTTTCTCCGTCAGATCACGACAACTTTCCCCAAGGATCCAGTTTACACTTTTTCTATCTCGCAAAATCCATTTCCTATTGAAAACCGGGATGTGCTGGGTGAGACACAGGTAACTGTCTGTCTTTGCAAATAGCTGAGCGCGGCCTGTGCACTGCTGTGCGAGCTTCAGCCGGCTGCCCATGGAGGGGCCAGGCTCTAAGACTCCGGGCTGTTCTCGTGGCGGAGCACAGCCGTGCTGTCCCCGGACGGCGCTGCTCTCCTGGATGCCCCTCGGGGCCTGCTGGTGTCCCCGTGGACCACAGGGCAGGTCCCCGTGTGTCCTCAGGCCAAAAGGTTTGGAAGTGCTGCTCTTGGATGGCTTCTCGATTTTTTGAAAATCTGTCCTTTTTCCTTGTTTGCTAGCGAGTGTGGAGGCCAAGCCAGCGGGGTCCTTGTGCTCCGCTGCTGCTGTGAGCCCTCGCTCCTCTGTGCACCCTGGCAGCCTGGGCACCAGGGCTTCTCAGCGCTGTTGGGCCGCTGGGTTAGCACACGACCTGCCGTCCTTGTGGCCACCGCCCGTTCTCTCTGTCACGGTGGATAGGCGTCTCAGGGTGTCCTGAGGTTTTATTTCCTTTTTTTTTTTAAGATTTTTTTAAGCTTGTTTATAGGAGAGGCAGAGTGGCAGAGTTACAGACATTAAGGTTTTCTGCCTGCTGTCTGCAATGGCCGCGGCTGGGCCAATCCAAAGCCAGGAGCCAGGAGCTTCCTCCAGGTCTCCCACATGGGTGCAGGGGCCCAAGGACTCGGCAGAGAGCTGGATGGGAAGTGGAGCAGCCGGATATGAACTGGCACCCATATGGGATGCCAGTGCTACAGGCGGGGTCTTTGCCCACAGTGCCACAGCACTGGCCCCATGAGGTTTTTTGGAAAGGGGCAATTTGCTGACTAACAAGCCTCACAACCCTCTGCCCGGGGGCCTGGGGTGCAGAGCCGGCCGTGGGGTGGCCTCGCATCCCCTGCCTGGCTGTTGGCATGATGGCTGCCCTGCCCATTTCTCCTCCTCACCCTGTGCCCAGCCCAGGACTGCAACCCCACAGGGCCTGGGGTCGGGTGGGGGCTAGCCTTTTCCCCCAGCCCCCCGTCCACCTCAAGGTGTTGGCTCCTGTTGGCTTGGCGTCTCCAGCATGCCTTCTCCCATCTGGGTGAGGCTGCCCAGAGCACCCTCTGGGGAGGGGTCAGGAGCTTGCTGTGCAAGCCTTGTGCTTTCCTTGGGTGCTGCTGGGGCTGTCTCAGCATCAGGGTGCGTAGCGACATCCCCGTGGGGTGTGGCTCTCCGGTCTGGCCCTGGAGACCTGTGGTGAAACATCCGCATTTCTCTCCAGGACTTCCATAGTTTGGCTGCCTACTTGTCCCAGAATACCTCGTCCATGTTCCTGGATACCGTCTCCGACTTCCACCTGCTGCTGTTTCTGGTCACCAATGAAGTCATGCCCCTGCAGGTACGGCCTGCACTTGGTGGTCCCTGGCTGGCCAGGGCTATAAGGAGACGCTTTGTCTCGCTCTGTTTGCTCTGCCACAAAGCAGCGGGCCTGGGAAGCTAGCTGCCTGTGTGAGGGTGTCTCCCCCGACGTCCCCTGAGCAGAGCCTTCAGACAGTGTAAATAGAGAAAAGCATTCGTCACGCTGGGCGTGGTCAGAACCCTGCCCCGTGCAGTGAGGGACGGTCCCACTTGCCACAGCTTCCTGGTAGGCAGAGGTCATCCAGCGCTGTCCTCCAGCACCAGTGTCTGAGGCCCGTCACTTAGACTGCTGACCTAGCAGTCTGCTCTCCTGGTGTCCCGTCCCTCCCCCACCCACTCCACTCGCTGACTGCTGACTCGCTCCAGAGGCTTGGCCCACTTCCCAGCGCCGAGCACACAGCTCTATGGTGTGCATTTTTGTTTTTTAATTTTTTTTTTTTTTAATTTGAAAGGCATAGAGGGAGAGGGTGGGGGAGAGAGAACTGTCTTCTGTCTGCTGGTTCAGTCCTCAAACGGCTGCAACACCCAGGACTGGGCCAGGCTGAAGCCAGGAGCCAGGAGCTCCGTCCACGCCTAGTGTGGTGCAGGGCCCAAGCCCTTGACCCTCACCTGCTGCCTCCCAGGGGCTTTAACTGGAACCAGCACTCCCACCCTGGGTGTGGTGTCGCAGGCCAGCTCGGCCTGCTGCCCCTCAGCGGGCCCAGCCGCAGGCCCTGGCTGGTGTCGGGTGCCCTGCTGTGGCCTTCTTTTCCTGAGAGCCGTGGAGAGAAGGGCAGTTGTTGCTCAGCCACAGGGACCCTGACTCCGCGTGTCTTCCCTGAAGGCCTTTCCGCCTCCCCGCCTCCGGCAGCCGTGGGAGCCGTGCGAGCCGACGGGGTGGAAGGCGAGTCTCCGTCCGCGTGGGGCACTGTTGCGCGGTCACCTCTCGGGGAGTGTGTCCTCGAGGATCTCCTTAGACCGCTGTCAGCCTCGCCAGCTTGGGGGGGGCTTTCCAGGCCTGAAGGGGAGAGGAAGACACAGCGTAGCGTGAGAGGGGAGGAGTCAGGCTTCACACCCTGGGCCCACCATCCGTCCCCTCCTCCCAGGACCAGGAACATGGCGTGTGTCCTCCGGCCTGTCGGGTGCACTGTCAGCCATGGCCGAGAGGGGTGCGGAGGCCCACTTGAGGCTGTTGAGGGGAGTTTAAATTTTTGCTCAGTTCAGCACTTGGATTTATCATCCTGGGTTGTGGCATTTCACCTCTATAGTGACAGCCGGTAGGACGCCTGGACGTCAGAGAGATACCTGTTAGCAAGGCTCTGCCCCGGGTGGCACGGCCGACCTCCCTCTGCACCCAGGTGGGCGGCGCACGGCCGACCTCCCTCTTGGCTTCTTGCAGGACAGCATCAGCCTGCTGCTGGAGGCTGTGAGGACCAGGAACGAGGAGCTGGCACAGACGTGGAAGAAGTCGGAACAGTGGGCCACCATCGAGCAGCTGTGCAGTGAGTGTCCCTCTCGTCACGGCGTGGACGGCTGGCCCTGGGGGTGCCGTGGGCACTGTGGGTAGCAGACCTGGCCAGCCTCGGCTCTGCGGGGTGGACGTGCACCCCCGCAGCGCTGCCTCAGGCACGGCCGCGGGTGGGAGTGCTGACCACACTGGGCTTTGCCCCAAGGGCCCTTCTCCCCCTCTGCTGCCGCACCCCCACTGCCCGTGAGGTCAGGGAGGGGAGCGTGGGCCTCCTGGAGCCTCCATAGCCAGGGCTGGGCCAGAGCTCATGGTGTAGAGGGCGGCTGTGGGGCTGTCCTCGGGCCCTGAAGACAGAAACGGTGGCCACATGTAGCCAAGATGAGCTGAGGACCGCCTCCTCCCGGTGGGCGACCCGCGAGGGAGGCCAGTGGACAGAGACGGTGTGGGATCAGCTCCGGGCTGGGCTCCTGCACACTCGTGGGGTGCTTCCCCGTTCTGTGTGAAACCCGGGTCATCGTACGGTCCTCGGTAGCGGGAACTGGCAGAAAGTATGCAGGCCTGAGCCGGCGCTGGCATTCGGCCTGCTGGTGCAGATCCCTGTGTCCTGCGTCGGGGCACCTGGGTCCAGTGCTCCTCCTGCCAGTGCACACGAGGACTTCTGCTGTCACGGCTCGTGGCGGGCGAGTGTCCTCCTCGTGCAGATGTGACGCCTGCTTGTTCTCCCCCTGCAGGCACAGTCGGCGTGCAGCTCCCCGGACTTCATGAGTACGGGGCCGTCGGGGGCTCTGTGCACGCCGCTCCGGCCGCCATGTGGGCCTGCCAGCACTGCACCTTCATGAACCCGCCGGGCACCGGCCACTGCGAGATGTGCAGCCTCCCCAGGGCCTAGTCCGACCAGCAGGAGACGCAGGGCCTGCAGCCTGGGGCTTCCGGTCCCCGAAGCTTCTCCGCACTGCTCTTCTGGAGAGGGCGCCAGTGGGTTCTGTGGCCCAACGTGACCTCCCAGCTGGAACTGCCGCCGCCCGCTAGGAGCACCTGTGCAGCCTGGCCTGGCTCACAGCGCTGCGGCGTGAAGGCCGGTGCCTCCAGACCGCCACCCGGACCTGGGGGCACGGAGGGGGCTGCTGCCACCCGGCTTTCTTCACCCAAACTTTCTGATGCTTTCTCTTCTCCGTCCCCCACCCCAGTTTTTGGTTGGGAGCTCCCGGCTGGCTGTCTCCTGCTGCTCTAGGGCACAAGCTGGCCTGGGAGGCCACGCCTCCGCAGTGGCCGCTGTGTAGACGCAGGAGCAGGCCTGCGGCCGACTTGCTGCCTCCTGTCACTCGACTCTCAGGTGGGGTGGTGACGCCTGCATTGTTGTAATAAGAGATGTCTGCAATTCCTGCCGGAAGACTTTATTTATTTCCCTAGGGTGAACCTGACAAGGCGGGGGAAGCCTGGTCTGTGCTGCTCCCCTCCAGTGAGGCCCTGGGGGGCGGGTTCCTGGCAGGGGAGGGGACGGGGCCGCTGGTTCCCTCTGAAGTAACCTCAGTGCCTGAGACTTGGACCGAGCCACAGGGCCGGCGGCTGTCACCGTCCCCGCGGTGGGGACAGGGTGATGAGGGCCGCTCTGGGCCTCCTACCACGCCTCCGCTGGCCCTGGCCCAGTGGTGTGGCCTCTGACAGCTGGTCGTGTGCCGAGTGCAGGGCCAGGCCATCACGTGCGTGCGCTGTGCTGTCCGGGTCTCCTCTGCAGCTGGACCCTGCTCGGTCCTCCCCGCCAGGGAGCCGTGGTGTCTCCTCGCCTCTTTGCCTTAACGACCTACGGAGAGGCTGGCCCAGCTACAGACACACAGGAGCCTCCCTCGTCCTGGGCACTGTGGACGGGGGCGCTGGCCGTGTGAACACCCAGGGGCAGCCCCACAGCGCGTCTGCGCACGTTGGTCTGGTCGCTGCAGACGGTCCTGGGGGCTGGGGGAGGAGGGCAGTCCAGCTAAGTAGGCTCTGCCCAGGCACCAGCCGTGCCGGGAGCCAGTACCCAGGCTGCCCCTGCTGTCGCCTCGTCTCCTGTCCCTGAAGTCAGCCGTGAGGCCGCGTGGCTGGGGCTCCCTCTGCCTGTGCGCCGACACCGTGCCCCCCTGGGCAGGCTCCGGACAGCAGGACTCGAGTCCTCGCTGCCCATGCGCCCTCCGTGTGCCGTCCTTCACCAAACCACTTTGCTCTCCTCACCCCGTTTCCACATAGCTCATGTTTGCTTTTGTTTTTAGCTAAAGAAAAGTGGACTTCTGCTTCTGGTTCTGCCGTCTGTTCAGTGACGATGGACGCCATGCGGAGAGAGCCAGCGCTCCGTCACGGGCTGGCCTGCCGAGGAGGGGCAGCCCCCACTCGTCACTCGCCCCTGTGTGGACACAGCTTTGTGCCACCGGGGACAGCATGCAGGAGAGGCGACGAGTGGACGCCTGTCCAGTTGGCACAGCGGCCGCCCTGGTCCCCTCTGGTGTTGGGGGGCCGGCCAGGCTGCCCCTGGGGCCCAGGTGCTCCCGCTTGTCGCCTCGTGGGGCTCACAGGTGTGTGGGGTTGACTAGCGCGGCCTCGGCCCTGCAGTGGAGCCTAATAAAAGCGCCTGAAGCACTGCCCCGCCCCGGTGTGGTGTTTGCGTCCGGACTCACCGTTCCCTGAGACGCTCGGCTCGTGGACACACACTCGGGCGCTGGCGTGGGCCAGGCCGGAGGCCAACGGCAAAGCAGCTGGGGCTGCGGGCTCAGGAGGGAGCGGGCCCTCGGCAGTGCTGGGCCTTGTCCCAGAGCCTCCGGGGTGGACATGCCAGTGCTCAGTCCCGGGCTTGGCCTGGGCTGCCTGCCCGTGGCACCTTGGCAGCTTTTGGGGAGGTGCTTCCCACCCCCCGGGCTGGTGTGACGGCAAACCACAGTGAGCCCCTGGCCGGCGTGGTTTCCTGCCGGGCTTTGTGCCCATGGAGGAGTGTGCCCTGGTACAGCCCCCAGCTTCCCACCCTGTGCTTTCTCGCCAGGAAACACCGCCTCGGCGTTGAGCTCAGACCTGGAGCAGTGGCCTCTCTGGCTCCCTGCCAGGGCCACGTGCACCACTGCTCCAGGGGCCAGCCGACGTGGCCTTGACCTTGAGCCCTCGCGGTCCAGGTCCCCTCCCTCGGGAGCTGCCTAACGATGCCGGGTTCTTGCCCCAGCAAACACGAGGGCTTGGCTTGGGGCTAGGAGCCTGCCGGCCCCCAGGGTGAGTGGGCCAGGTCTGACCAACAGACGGGCTCTACTGGCCACTACTCACGTGGCCATGCCCCCACCACCACTCACGCAGTCGTGTGTCCCCTCGTGGGTGAGCATGGGGTTCTCAAGGACTGAGGACAGGCTGGGAAAGCTGCCGTTGGCCACAAAGCCGGCTGAGTCCGCGCCGGCTGCCTACGCAGCAAGTCCCCTGCGTGGCCGCCGCGGCAGCGGGCAGCGTTTCCAGCCAGCACCTGGGGAGCGCGGGAGCCAGGAGCAGGCTTCCACGGCCAGGCTCCGGGTCCATCCGACCCGGCCCCCAGAGCAGTGAGCAGGTGGCCTGGGGGGCCGCGTCGCCAGGCTCAGGGCAGCTGCCCGTCGCGCTGGGCCCGGGGTGTTTCGGCAGGTGTGGGCCTCACCTCAGCGTCCATCCGGACTGGCTGACCATGCATCTCCATCCCTGCTGGACAAGAAACAAATGTCCTGCTTTTGTAAAGCAGCCAAGATCTCCCATCTGTTAGTTCATTCCCCAGATGGCCACAACAGCCAGGGTTGTGCTAGGAGCCTGGAGCCCAATCTGGGTCTCCTACGTGGGTGGCAAGGGGCCCAGGCGCCGGAGCCATCAGCAGGGTGCGCGTGCGGTCGCTGGCGCTTGCCCGGAACTGGACGCGGAAATCCCAGTGGCGGCTCAGCCGGCGAAGCAGGTGCCCGCCCGCCCCCGTGTCGCCCTGGGGCTCTGCAGACCGGCTTCGCAGCGGGGAGCGGGTCCTTGCTCCTCCACGTCGCAGGGGGCGTGGCCGGGCACCCCACTGCCTGGCGCTGCCCCAGGAAGGGGGCTGGGGACCCGGGGAAGCGGAGGTCTCGGCGGGCGGCCTCCCGGGAGCTCCTCCTCCCGCGCGCAGCCAGCCTGGGGCGTCCCCTCTGCGGCCGCTGCCCTCCCCGAAGCTTGAGGAGTGGGCTCCCGCCCCGCGCTGTCCCCGCCTCCGGAGCGGCCTCCGCTCGACTGAGGCCGGGGAAGCCCGCGCAGGGGGCGCCCCGGCTGGAGGCAACACTGCCCACGCGGCTCCGTGCCCGCCCCCGGACGGTCGCGACCCCGCAGGCAGGGGCTCCGGCGTTCGGGTCGCCCCCAGCGCCCAGAACCGAGGCCCGGCCCCGCCCCCGCTGGGCCGCTAGAGCGGAGGCCCCGCCCCCGCCGAGACTCCGGCCCCGCCCCCGCCGGGCCGCTTTACGGCGGAGGCCGCGCCCCCGCCAGCGCCCGGCCCCGCCCCCGCTGGGCCGCTCGAGGAGGCCCCGGCCCCGCCCCCGCGGCGCCGCTTTACGGCCCCGCGCTGGGAGGCGGCGGCTCGCACGATGGCTGGCGCCGAGCCGCGCGTCCGCTACCTGGCGGGTTTCCGCTGCCCCCTCGGGGGCCTGGCGGCGGGCACGGCCCGCGTGCTGCGCCACGGGGCGGAGGTCTTTCTGTGCGCCGGGAGCGAGTTCGTCTACGTGTACGACCAGGAAGGCGGGCTGCTGAGCGTGAGCGCCGCGGCGGCGGGGGCCGGGCCGGGCGGCGGGCGGCCGGGGCCGGCGAGCGTGCGGGGGACCGGAGACCCGAGGCGCCTCCTCCCGCCCCGCAGGCGGTGTACCAGTTCCCGGGCCGCGTGTGGCACCTGGAGCTCCTGCCGCTCCGCAGGGCGCTCTACGTCCTGTGCGCCCGGGAGGGCGTGTACTGCCTGCCGCTGGACCGCCCGGACAGGTGAGCGGCGGCCTCCCCGCTCCCCCCGCACGTGGAGACCGCGCGCCGCCCGCGGCTCCGAGCTCTCGGGGTCCCCTCGCCCGCCCAGGCGCGGAGGTCCTGCCCGGGGCTCTGGGGGTCCAGTCCCTTGCGGACATGCCTTGGAGGTGGGGCTGTGGCTGGGAGCGAGAGCAAGGGCGCCTTGGGCCCTCTGTGACGGTCAGGGGAGACCCCCGGGGCGGCGGAGGCGGGCGTGGGCCGCGGGGACCGGGCTCGGGGCTGGAGTGGGCGGGGCACGCGGGGCGGACCCTGACCGTGGCTCCCCCGCGCTCGAAGGTCTCCGAGGCGGGATGCCGCGGACGGTGAGGACGGCGAGGACGGCGAGCTCCCCTTGCCTGTGATCCCCGTGGGCCCCGATGCCTGCGTCCTCCCGGGCGCGGGGCTCTGCACGTTCGCGGTGCTGGACGACGCGCTGGTCACCCTGGAGCAGGGCCCGGCCCAGTGGAAGGTGCGGCTGCTGGAGCGCCCCTGCCCCGGCCAGGAGCCGCGGCCGGACGCCCAGATCGGCGAGGTGGAGCTGGCCGCCTGCGCCCCCTCGGCGGGGCAGCCGGAGGACCCGCGCTTCCTGCCCGTGCTGTGCTGTGTGTCCCCGCCGGGCTCGGGGGCCCCACGCGGCGCCCCCCCGGCCCACGGGGGCTTCGTGCTGGGGGAGGCCCTCTTCGGTCTGCTCTTCGGAGCCGATGCCGCCCTCCTGGAGTCAGCCGTGGTCCTCTGCGGTCTGCCCGACGGCCAGCTCTGCTGCGTGGTCCTGAAGGCCCTGGTCACCTCCAGGTCAGCCCCTGGGGACCCGAAGGCCCTGGTCAGAATCCTCCATCACCTGGAGGAGCCTGTCGTCTTCCTTGGGGCCCTGAGGACAGAGCCGCGGGCCAGGGACACCGCAGAGGACGGGCTGGCCGCGGAGGACACGCACGCCGACTGCCTGGTGGCCCTCGGTCACCACGGCCGGGCGCTGGCCATCAAGGCGGGCTGGAACGAGGCCGGGAGTCTGGTGCCGCAGCTCCGAGAGTACCGCCTCCCGGGGCCAGCGCTGTGTGCCGCCTGTGGCGGGGGCGGCTGCCTGTTCTACAGCACCCCCTCCGACCTCTGCGTGGTGGACCTTGGCTCAGGGCGGCTCCCGCGTGGACCCAGAGTGGCCGGAGGGGGCCCCGGGCGGCCTGCCGCCCCTGCTGTGCCCAGCCAGCTTGAACATCTGCGGCAGTGTCGCCCTCCGCGCGTCCGCGGGCCCTGGAGGTATGAGCTGCCGTCCCCGTGAAGAGCCGAAGCTTCCGGCGCCGGGCCGGCCTGGCAGGGGCAGGCGCGTCCGCTCACGGGGCAGGCGGTGGCTGCGGCAGCACGGCTCTGCCTGCCCGGGCCCCGCCCCCTGCTGCTGACGGCTGTGGACCGAGCACTGCCCTGGCCCCTGGCCCGGGGGTGTCCCCCCCGACACTGTGGTCACTGCCCTGGCCCCCAGCCTGAGAGCGTCCCCCGCCCCCCGACACTGTGGTCACTGCCCTGGCCCCCAGCCCGAGAGCATCCCCCCCGACACTGTGGTCACTGCCCTGGCCCCCAGCCCGAGAGCGTCCCCCCCGACACTGTGGTCACTGCCCTGGCCCCCAGCCCGAGAGCATCCCCCCGACACTGTGGTCACTGCCCTGGCCTGAGAGCGTCCCCCCCGACACTGGTCACTGCCCTGGCCTGAGAGCGTTCCCCCCGACACTGTGGTCACTGCCCTGGCCCCCAGCCCGAGAGCGTCCCCCCCGACACTGTGGTCACTGCCCTGGCCCGAGAGCATCCCCCCCAACACTGTGGTCACTGCCCTGGCCCGAGAGCGTCCCCCCCGACACTGGTCACTGCCCCCGGCCTGAGAGCGTCCCCCCCGACACTGGTCACTGCCCCCGGCCTGAGAGCGTCCCCCCCGACACTGGTCACTGCCCCGGCCCCCGACTCGGGAGCGTCCCCCCCACACACACTGCAGGCACTGCCCTGGCCCCCAGCCCGAGAGTGCCCCCCCCGACACTGAGCGCTGCCCTGGCCCCCAGCCCCTCCCCCCACAGGCTTGCAGGCTGCGGGTCCGGGTCAGGGAGGCAGGAGAGCAGACACTGGGGCCACTGTGGATCAGCCGTGGTCCAGCGTGGTGCTGTCATGGAGCCCTGGCCGTGACTGTCCCCGCGAGGCCATGGTGGTCTAGGCTGTTGGTCCAGTGATGGGATGAGGCGCAGGGCAGACTTCCCATCAGGATCGCGTGTGGGGCACTGACGTGGCCGCTGAGGCCGGGGGCGTGGCCGGAGCCAGTGCGAGGTGGCAGCAGCCGGGAGCTGGCGCCCCCGCCGTCACGGCGAGGGCAGGGCGTCTGTCCTGGGGCCACTCCCTGGCAAAGGACCAGCGAAGGCGGAGCCCCGGGGGGGGGCGGTGGGGTGATGTCCTGGGGTCCTTGGACAGTGGCCCCCTGGCAGACCAGTACCCCTCTCCTGGAGAGGCCCTCGGGGGGTGTGGCAAAGGGCAGCCAGCGTCTGCCCGGCTGCCTGGGGCTCCTGTCCTCCCGGACACTGGCCTCAAACTCCACCTGCGTTTTTCCGGAGCGGGGCAGGGGGGGAGTTGTGGCAGCTCCCCCCTCCCAGCCTGCTGACCTGACCGGCCTCACACCCGTCTGTCCCAGGTGGCACCAAACTCCTGGCACTGTCTGCCAAAGGCCGCCTGATGGCCTGCAGCCTGGGGCTGGAGGCGGAGGCGCCCGGCCCTGCCCGGACACCCAGGGCAGACGCAGGCCGGAAGATCAGGGAGCTGCTGTCTGGGATCGGCGGCGTCTCCGAGAGGTGGGTGCTGCCCCGTGCGGCGCGGGACTGCCTGTGGCCGGGGCGCCTGGTCTGGCTGTCCTGGGGGGGCAGCCTGTGAGGCCGCCTTGACACGGGGCCCCCACGCCTTTCCCTGCTGGCCCCCAGGCCTGGCCTCGGTGCCGCACGCAGGGGCTCCCCACGCTGTCCCTGGAGCACTGCTGAGGAGAGGCGGGGCCAAGGGCCTGGCCGGGCACAGCTCCGCCCCAGGGCTCTGCGGGGGCCAGACGGGAGGAGCGGGGCCAGACGGGAGGAGCCGGGTGGGGGTCTCGGGTGCGGCCCGCCCACCCCCGGCATCTGCCCTCTGCAGGGTGTCTCTGCTGAAGAAGGCGCTGGACCAGCGGAACGAGGCCCTGACGAGCCTCAACGAGGCCATGAGCGTGAGCTGCGCGCTGCTCTCGGGCGGAAGCGGCGCCCGGCCCGTCTCCTGCAGCACCACCGTGGCCTGGAGCCGCCTGCAGCTGCGTGACGTGCTCACCGCCACCTGCCGGCTGCAGAACGACAGCCGCTTCAGCCTGGACCGCGGCTGGGCCCTGTGCGTCCAGCTGCTCAGCAGCTGCTCCGCCCTCGACCTGGACGCCGCCGGCGCGGCCGTCACCTACACCATCCCCATCCCCCGGCTCGGCCCCGGCAGCCGGCGGGAGGTGACGCTGCCCCTGGGCCCCAGTGAGGACGGCGAGCTGGACCTGCCGCTGACCGTGTCCTGCGCGCTCTTCTACAGCCTCCGGGAGGTGGTGGGCGGGGTCCTCTCCCCCCAGGACCCCCTGCAGGCCCCCCTCCTGGACGAGGGCCCGCTCGCGGCGCTGCCCGAGCAGGACGGCATCTGCCTGCCGCTGAGCAGGTGCACGGTGGACATGCTGCAGTGTCTGCGCTTCCCCGGCCTGCCCGCGGCCGCTGCGCAGGCCCCCGGCCTGGCCGGCCCCTCCGCGGACCCCGTGGACGCCTTCCTGGACTCCTACAGGGGCCCAGCCGGCAAGCTGGCCGGATCCGCCTCGCTGCGAGCCCAGTACCTGCCCCCGTCCGTGGCCTCCATCAAGGTGTCGGCGGAGCTGCTCCGGGCTGCCCTGGACAACAGCCGCACAGGTTGGTGGCGCTGCCCGGCTGTGCTGTGGACGTGGGTCTGGCGTCCGAGCTCTCCTGGGTGAGGGCTGGAGCGGCATCGGAGTTTCTCCCGTCACACGCTTCACAAGTGGACACGGTGGGCAGCGCGGGCCGGGCGCTCGGGTCCCGGGCGGGCTCCAGGGTTGGGCCCGTACAGAGGCAGCGGGCACACTGCCCTCGGACCACCCTCGCTGAGCTGGCGGGCGGAGTGCCTGCTCACACCCCAACCCCTCCCGCGGCCAGCGCCAGGCTCCCTGCTGGGCCGTGGCTGCAGCAGGTGCTGTCCCCTCCAGGTGTGTCCCTGTGCTGTGCGACCCTGCAGTGGCTCCTGGCCAAGAATGCCGCCGCGGACTCCGTGCGGGCCCAGGCGCTGTCTGCCGTGCAGGCCGTGGCCCCGGGTGGCACTGCCGTCCACCTCCTCGTCCGTGAGGCAAGCAGGGGCCCGCGCCGTCCAGGGACAGCAGCTCTGAGCTGTGCCGTGCAGTGAGGGGTCGGCCGCTCGTCCCCCACGCACAGCCGGCTGTGGGGCTCCCAGGGGGCTGGGTAGAGTCGTGACACCCCTCCTCCCACACAGCTTCCTCCCCCGGGAGGAAGGGCAGGAGGTGGCGGGGGGCGGACCCTTGCGGCCCCCACGGAGGGCCTGGGACGCATGTGTCCTGAGAGCAGTCTGCTCCTGGCTCAGAGTGCAACCTGACCACGCCCAGGGCTGGCGGTTGGCAGTGCTGTGTGGGTCGGGGGAGTGGCTGTGTGGGTCAGGGAGTGGCAGTGCTGTGTGGGTCAGGGAGTGGCAGTGCTGTGTGGGTCGGGGACTGGCAGTGCTGTGTGGGTCGGGGGAGTGGCTGTGTGGGTCGGGGGAGTGGCTGTGTGGGTCAGGGAGTGGCAGTGCTGTGTGGGTCGGGAGTGGCAGTGCTGTGTGGGTCAGGGGACTGGCAGTGCTGTGTGGGTCAGGGACTGGCAGTGCTGTGTGGGTCAGGGGAGTGGCTGTGTGGGTCGGGGGAGTGGCTGTGTGGGTCGGGGACTGGCAGTGCTGTGTGGGTCGGGGACTGGCAGTGCTGTGTGGGTCAGGGGAGTGGCTGTGTGGGTCGGGGGAGTGGCTGTGTGGGTCGGGGACTGGCAGTGCTGTGTGGGTCGGGGGAGTGGCAGTGCTGTGTGGGTCAGGGGAGTGGCTGTGTGGGTCGGGGGGAGTGGCTGTGTGGGTCGGGGAGTGGCAGTGCTGTGTGGGTCAGGGAGTGGCAGTGCTGTGTGGGTCAGGGGAGTGGCTGTGTGGGTCGGGAGTGGCAGTGCTGTGTGGGTCGGGGGAGTGGCTGTGTGGGTCGGGAGTGGCAGTGCTGTGTGGGTCAGGGGACTGGCAGTGGCTGTGTGGGTCGGGGGAGTGGCTGTGTGGGTCGGGGACTGGCAGTGCTGTGTGGGTCGGGGGAGTGGCAGTGCTGTGTGGGGGCAGCTACGTGGGTCGGGGGGAGTGGCCCCGTGGGTGAGCTGCCAGCGCCCCCAGTGGGCACCCGTATCCTGGGCCTGCTGTGAGGGTCCCACCTCGCACAGGAGCAGACTTCCTGTGTAGTTGAGCCTCACTGCCTACAGGGGGCGCCTGAGCAGCACGGGAGGGAGCTGGGGCCCTGGGAGCTCCCCGTGGGTTCTACTGGGGCTCTGGGCAGGCAGCGAGACTGTCCCCACAGGTGGCTTTGACCGAGCTGAGCCCGGCGGGGCCCATCCAGGCGGTGGAGATCCAGGTGGAGTGCCCGTGTCTGGCCAGCATGTGCCGGGTGCACCATGCCATCGTGGGCCGCCTGCAGGTGCGTGGGGCCCAGGGGTGCGCAGGGAGTCCCTGCCGTGTCTGCTGCCGGGCACCGTGCGGTCGCTGGGAGACGCCGGCTGAGCCCACCCGGCGCTGGGCGCCACCCTCAGGTCCCAGGGCCGCCTGAGCCCCCTGCCCTCTGGGCGTCTGGATGACCTGGCCCAAGGCAGCGCCTGCCTGCTCTGAGCAGCAGCTGGGTCAGCCCCTGCCACCTGCGTGCGGCTCTCCTGGGAGGGGGGAGCCTGTGACCCCACCGCACTCAGCGGCTGCCTCCACAGGGGCTCTGCGCCCTCAGAAGGGCCGGCAGTGGGCTGGCTGGACCGGGGGGGGACCCTGGGCCCAGGACTGGGCCGGGCGCTGCAGGGGAAGAACCCGAAGTGTGCAGGCACTGGCTGTGGGCGTGGCTCTCCCCTGCTGCTCTGCTCAGGAGGGGCAGGGGCGTGGCCGAGACAGAGGGGTCACCTACCCTGAGGGGCGAGGGGACAGGTGTCGGCACCACACCTGGGGACGTCCCCTGTGTCTCCAGGCGATGGTCACGGGGCAGGCCGCCCAGGGCTCCAGCCCACCCGACCTCCGCATGCAGTACCTCCGGCAGATCCACGCAAACCACGAGGTGAGGGCCGCGCCCACCCGTGTCGGGGTCTCAGTGCAGAGGGCGCCCCGTGGGGCTGTCCCAACGCGGTGTGTCAGTGGGGGACCGGGAGCCCCGGGAGGCGGGGTCTGAGCCGTGGGCACCCGCAGATGCTGCTGCGGGAGGTGCAGAGCCTGCGCGACCAGCTGTGCACGGAGGACGAAGCCGCGTCCAGCGCCGCCGCCCGGAGGCTGCTGCAGGTGTACGGGCAGCTGCGCGAGCCCAGCCTGGTGCTGCTGTGAGCGGCGTCCGCCCCTCCCCCGGCTCCCACTGCCGGCCACCTCTGATGCACGCAGGAAAACCCAGCACACGCGAGACTTCGGTCTCCGTCCCTGGACAAGAGGCGCACGGCCAGGCGTGAGCCGCCTGGAGCAGAGGGGGAGTGGGACAGAGCCCCCCATGCCACCCCGGGGGCGGGCCTCGTCCGGGGCCTGCGGGTTTGAGTGCTGCCGCCACTGGCTCCCCGCGCTGCTACCTCGCTCTCTCGGGCTGTGCCCCAGCCTCCGCCCTCAGCCGGGCCCGGCGCCCTGGCCCGGGAGCTGGTGCAGGTGTTTCCTGCCACAACGGGTCCTGTCTGCTGAGCTCTGGGTTTCGCCTGTGTCTTTCTTTATCAACTCTCTCAGCTCCGGCCAGAGCCGCTGCCCACCTGGGTCTCAGGGGCCCGGGACCAGAAGGGGCCCAGCCCCGGGTTGGGCTGGTGGGGGGAGCCCTCACGGTGGGCTGCCCGTGCCGCAGCCCTGGCCTCTGCCGTGAAGGCAAGGGGCTGCTTCCTGCCCAGAGCGCCCCAGCCCCGGGGAAGAGGGGTCTGAGCAGGCCCCGCCCTCCCGGGGCCCCTGGAGTTTCCCCAACACCATCGCTAGTTCTGAAGCCAAGGCCCTGGTTGTGGGAGGGGCGGCTCCTCACAGGGCAGCCCCAGCTCTGACCGTCGCCCAGCGAGCAGGGGGCTGCACCTGCAGGGCCTCGGTCAGACCTGACACCCAGGCGTGCCCCAGCCGCCCGTGGCCACCGTCGTCCGTCCCAGGTGAGGGGGGGCAGGAGAGGCACACTGTCCCCTCAGCTGGCGGGGGTGGAGTGCGCTGGTGCCGCTACAGGGGAGTGGGCACTGGCCGGAGACCCCGGGGTGCCCTTGGGAAGCTGGGGCCCTGGCCCCCCAGCCCTGCACCTCCTGACGCCCACACCAAGAGACGCCAGGCCCCGGAGTCACCTGCAGCTCCGGGGGTTAACCCGGCCCCGCCTCGTCCACGGACCTGAGAGGGCCCAGCCAGGCCAGGGCCTTTGCCCCTAGGTGGAGGAAGCAACTGGGGCCGCGACCCTCTCCCAGGACTCACGCACTGGCCTCGGCTGACTTGAACAGTGGACAAAAGGCCCCCACGTGAGGGCAGAGGCTGTGGCCGGTCAGACGTGGGCCTCTCCGGTGCTGGCGGGGCCGCGGAGTGGATGGGAGAGGGCAGGCTCGGGGGATGGCGCCGCTGGGCGACAGCCAGCCTTGCGCCTCGCCTTGCACCTGCGGGCTTGGGCCAGACCCTCCGCGCCCGCCTCCCTGCCCCCGGCGAGCCCACGAGAGCTGCGAGCTGCGTGACACACGTTTAATGCGGGGCGCGGCCTCAGTACTCCCAGAGCGCGGCCCCCGCGGGCGCCTCGGCATCGGCGCGCAGCAGCCCCGAGGCGTCGCCGCGCAGGTACGTGCCGCTCCGGGCGCGGATGGCCAGGCGGCCGCGCTCGCGGAACTCGAGGAGGAAGTCCTCGGCGCGCTCGCCGTCGCTGCGCACGCTGCCGTGGCTGCCGGTGTTCCAGAAGCCGCCGCCGCGGCCTGGGGGCCGGACGGGACGGGCGTGGGCTGGCGGCTCCCGGCCCCGGCCCGCCGCGCCCCCGCGCGCCCCCGGGCCCCCGCGCGCACCTCGGATGTGGTAGGCGCCGTCGCTGAAGCTCAGGTGGAAGACGTCGTAGACGGAGCGGTTCGTGTCCAGCTGGTTGGAGCCGCGGCGGTGGCAGACGAAGCCGTCCAGGCCCCGCAGCACCAGGAGGGGCCGGTTGATGAGCTTCAGGGTGAACTCCTCGTCCTCGCCTGGGGGAGAGGGCGCTGTGGGCGCTGTGGGCGCGGGGAACGGGCGGCTGCACCGGGCCCGCGGGGGCGGGGGCGCGCCTGTGGCCCAGGCAGCCCGGGGTCGCTCACCCACGAAGTCGCTGGTGGCCGCCAGCTGCCCGTTCTTCTTCATGCAGACGTAGCGACCATTGCTGGCTCGGAGTGCCACGCGCCGGCCGCGCCACTCCACCTCGAACATGGTGCTGGCCGACCTGCGGGCAGCCTCGGCTCAGAGCCGCCCCGCACACGCGCCCCGCACCACCCCCAGGCCAGCAGAGGGGCGCGCGCTCACACTTGGGCGGCGGTGGCCTGGATGCCCCCGTGGGTGACCAGGGTCCAGTAGCCCCCGGTGCTGGCGTAGAAGGTGCACTTCTTGGTCTCCTGGTCGATTTGCATCAGGAAGGTCTCATGGTCCAGTTCTTCGTCCTGATTGGCTGAGACGTTGACCCCTGGAGGGAGTAGGTGCGGAGGCCCCTCAGGCCTCTCCGGGGGCAGGAGGTGGGCAGCAGGAAGAGGGTCTCATCTAGAACCCCCTGGGCTTGAGGGGCCTGGGCACCTGCCCCAGGGCCTCATGGTTACCTGGTGGCCTGCACACAGCCCTGGGCCTCCCTTGACCCAGCTCTTCCCACACCCCCTGGGCCAGACCCTTCCGTGCCAGCAAATCCCACTCTGCTAATCGGGGGCTAATCTGCTTCTCCTGCTCCTACGCCACCTCTATTTATAACACCCCTAAGCAGCTGGGTGGGCCCAGCGGGAGGTCTCTCCTTCCACCTGCAGCGGCCCAGGTCACCACCAGAGCCGAGGGCCCGGCCAGGCCCCAGGCAGCCTCCCCACTCACACCTGCTCCTCCCAGGAGCCCCAGGGGAGGACGAGGCGACCGGAGGGGTGTGTCTGTTCCGAGTTGCGGGGCACCAGGCAGGTGCGGCGCCTCCCCAGCCTCTTCCATAAACCAAGGCCTTGGGTCCCTCCACAAGCCACTCCCCCGTTCCCATGGCAACCACCCACTCAGGCTCTAGGTGTGTCCACCCGGGAGAAGGGGAGGCGAGGTGGGCAGATCCCAGGCAGCTTTGTCCCAGAGAAGTGGGCACCAGGCACTGACCCCTGCCCGGATCCCCACACCCCTCAGCAGACAGCTGGCTGAGCAGCCCTGCTGTCCCGAGGCCAGCGCCCAGGCCTCGCCCTGTGCATGGTCAGTGGGCAGCGAGAGATGACGAGGGGTCGACGTGTGTCCAGCCCGCAGGAGTGCTGGGGCCCCCTGCCACTGCGGCTGTCCCGGGATGCGGCTGCTCCCGTGGCCTCCTCCGGGCAGGACGCGTGCAGGGGCCGCCTCTGGCCGATCCTAGGGGCTGAGCTCACAGCAGAGGGTGCCGTACCTCTGTCACCATGGCCCCACCTGTACCTCCGCCACCAGCCTGGCCCCCAGCTCCGCGTCACGCCACTCACCTGTCCCACTGAAACTGACATCACTGCCGCCACCGCGGCCCGCGGGGCGCCTCTCGTGGGCTGGCACTCGCTACTCCAACTCCCACAGAGGACGCCTCCCCACGCCGCTGCCCCACTGGCAGCTCTGTCATTTGTCCCAGGGAGCCTCAGCCCAGGCCACTGCGTGGGGCCAGGCGGCTGCACCTGGCGCCGTGTGGGGAGGAGGGACCTTGGCTGCGTTCGCCACGGCAGCCCAGGCCCCGACCACGGCCACACGCTAGGACCAGCACCGCCGAGGTGCCTCGGACTCTGGGGCCGCCCTGCACGGGGCCACCCGAGCCTGGCTGGGCTCCCGTCTCGGTGCTCACAGTGGGCCCTCCACTGCCTGGACCTGAGCGGCTGTGCCCGGGCCCCCGTAGGATGTCGCAGTGGGGCCATGGGCTCTCTGGGCCAGGAGCTGGGTGAGCTCCCCGTCGCCTGGCTGCTGCTGGCCGGGAGCAGCCCCCCCATGCCTGCATCGCCAGGCCACTCCGCCGTGTGTGGCTCGTGGCTGCTGGCCAGGCAGCGCCTTACTCAGCTGCAGCCCCCTGCCCACAGCAGCTGAGGGCCCACAAGGCAGATGGTCAGTGACCAGGAGATGGCTAGAGCCAGGCCCCACACACTGACAGTGACCACAAACCACCCCACTTCCTGCCGCCACGTGAGGGAGCCGCCTGCCCAGGCACCTGGCAGGGCCGCCCTGAGCCCACCCGTCCAGGTCCCTGCCCTGCCCCAGCCCCCTCCTCCAGGAAGGAGAGGTGGGGACGTGCACACCCCCAGGCCCGCCCCCTTGCACCACGGCCTCAGCGGCTGCTGGGCTGCTGTCGCGGGGAAGGCCGGGGCCCCTGCCCACGCAGGCCCACCTTGGCGCACAGAGACGTAGCGGCGGTTGGCGGCCAGCAGCACCACCTGCGGGGGGCTCTCCTCCAGGTCGAAGAGCTCGTCCTTGCCCGGCCGGGAGCTGCGGCCGGCCTTGAGCGTGCCCGCGGGCCCCACGGGCGCCAGGTAGCGGCCGTCGCAGTCCTTGAAGGCCAGCTTGCCAGCCTTGAACTCGAGCGTGTAGCAGGCGCGGGCCTCGGGCTCCCACACCAGCCGGCCGTCACTGCGCAGGTAGCGGCTGTCACAGGACCGGAGGCAGTACCGGCCGCTGCGGAAGATCAGGGTGAGCAGCGCGTCCACGCCCCAGGGCATGTCGCCGTCGGCCGCCATCTCGTCGTCCTGCGGGCACAGGTGCACGTAGCGCCTCCGGCTCACGCTCAGCAGGTGGGCCTGCGGGTGGATGGCCAGGTGCACCGTCCACAGCTCGGCCGGGGAGATGGCCGTGGCGAAGCAGGACAGCTGGTCCTCCGTGCCCCCGAAGAAGCGGCCGTGCGGCTCGGACTGCAGCGCCCAGCGCCCGTCTGGCTGCGGCAGGACCAGGAAGCGGCAGTCCCGGCCCGGCCGCTCCGCCTCGCAGGCCACGCGGCCGTTCTCGCCGGCCGACAGGTAGCGGCCCAGGTGGCCGCTGCGCAGCAGCACGGCCGCGCCCTGGCCCGGGTCCGGCTCCAGCAGCCACACCTGCTTCCGCTTGAGGCTGGGCGCCGAGGCGTTCACCTTGAAGCCGAAGCTCTCGGCGGTCAGGTAGCGGTCGCTGTCGTTGACCAGGCCGAACTGGATCTTCAGCACCTGGTGCAGCCCGTTGGTCGGCATCTTCTACTGCGAGTGCTCACGGCGCCCCAGGGTCTGGCTCGGACCCCGGGCCCAGCTGGCGGCATGGACCCACTGCCTGCCTGGACTCTGCCTCCGGCCAGCGGCCACGGCCCGGGCGGCTCTTACATGGCCAGCGGGCAGCGGGGGCCGGGCGGGGAGGGCGGATCAGAGACAGGCGGCTTAGGAGCGACCGCCTTTCCTTACCCACCCCCACCCGCCTCGGGCTTGGATTCCAGCCCGGGCCGGCCTCTCCCGGTCCTCGTTGTCCCAGGCCCGGACCCCACCGCGTGAGCCGCGCTGCTCCAGGCTCCGCTCCTGGCTGCCACCACCCAGCCCAGCCCGGCTCTTCCCGAGGTAGAAAAAGCCACTCAGTGGAAACTCGCAGCGCGCGCAACCTGATCACAGCCCTCGCCCCGGCGGCCACCAGACCCTCGGCGGGATCTGGTTACTGCTTCTCTGATTCCTGCTGCCAGGAGCGCG